ACTCGCTAGTTTTGAGAGTTCTTGAAATCATTGTTATTGGTCTGCCCCCTTGGGATAGGACAGCTCCAATGCCATTCATTGATGCATCCGTTGTCAGGTCAAATGGCTGTTGAAAATTTGGATACATAAGGGTGACATCTTCTGATGCCAAAACGTTACGCAACCGTTCGAATGAGTTTCGTTGGGTTTCATTAAATTTTACCTCAATTTTTCTGGACATATGTTTACTGACTTTGCCATTTTCTCCCTTGAGTATGCTTGTTAGGGGGGCTGCTATAGATGCAAAGTCTTTTATGAAAACCCTATAGTAGCTTGCTAATCCGAGGAAGGACCTGAGGCTGTAGAGGTTTTTTGGTTCGACATATTCTTGGATGGCTTTGACTTTTTCGGGATCAGTTCGTATCCCATCTTTTGTCACTAAGAAGCCTAGGAATTCGATACTGTCCTTGAAAAACTGAGTTTTTTCTTGTGAGACTCTCATATTAGCGTCACACAGGCTCTTTAGTATCGTGTCAACGTGTTTCACATGGTCAAACTCGTTTTCTGAGAAAACTATTACGTCATCTACATATACGTAACATGTTTTCCCTATTTGTTCCCTTAGGACGTCATCTATGGCCCTCTGAAAAATGCTTGACGCGTTTTTTAAGCCGAATGGCAAACGGCAAAATTCGTACTTGCCGCCATTTACAGAGAACGATGTTTTTTCGCGGTCTTGTTCCGCGAGGAAAATCTGGTGGTAACCTGACTTTAAGTCCAAGGTTGTAAAAAATTTTGCCTTCCCTAGGTTTGCTAGAATCATAGGGATGCTTGGCATTGGGTACCGATCAGCAATAGTTCGTTCATTTAGCTTCCTAAAGTCGATTACAAGGCGCTTGTTCTTATTTCCGTTGGTATCGGTCCCTTTTTTGTCAACAACCCAAGCTGGGCTGTTGTATGGTGATCTTGATGGTCTAATTAAACCATCTTTGAGTAAACATTCAATTTCTTTGTTTACAAAGTCCGATACGCCCATTGGCAGGGGGTACCATTTGGAGTAGACTGGCTCGTTGTCCACAGTTCTCACTGTGGCTACAACGGAGGTATTAAAGGGTAACGCCTCTTTAGAGGTCGAGAACGCCTTTTTCCTTTTTAGCACCATATCTTTGAACTCAATTTTTATTGAGTCTGGTACAACTATGTCGTTTACATTGGTAAAATTGACATTAGAGCACTCATGGAACTGGATATTTTCCTGTTTGTCTAAGTATTTTAACTTGCTATCCCGAAGGTTCAACGTAACTTCCGCCTGCGTTAGCAGGTCGAAGCCTATAATTGCGTCGAACGAGGTGAGCGTGTCTAACAGGAAGAAAGGGGATGTTTGTCCAAAAAGTTTTACTAAACATTTGTTTTTTATTATACTGGAGCCGTGAATAGAGCTCACAGTGAAGGGCTTTTCGGCTGGTGTTACTACTTTCAGCTCCTTTACGGGCTTAATGTAGTTTTTAGCCGCCCCGGTGTCTATTAGAATTTTTAGACTTCTCCCAGCCAACTGTCGTGTAATGAACGGCAGCCGGGAGCGTTCCCTAAAAAATTCACCGAGTCATCGAGTCCGATGGACTCAGTTTCATCGTCGATACAAGCTACAGCTTCTTCCGCTATCTCCTTGTACTTTTTGTTATGATCAACATGGTCGTCTTGGGCTATGTTGTTGACACGTTGTCGTCTGGCGCCTGTAAAGCGCTCTGACGAGTTTGGTCTTTTCTGGGTCTGTGTGCCTAAGTTTTGGTTGTTGTTAAACTGAGTATGTTGTCTAAACTTAGACGAAGTATCGATTTCCATCGGCTCTGGATGTTCTGCATGGCTTTCGTTTTTATTCTCCTGGTGAGAGTGCTGTTTTTTAAAGAAATGAGGGTTCTTTTCCTGACCATTATCATCCCTATTGCCTTTACTCCGTTTGTAGTGCGATCGATTCTTGCTACTTTCGTTCGCCTGATTTTTTTCTTCTAGCGCTTTAGCGTATGATGCAGAGAAAGCACTGCGCTCAATGCTAGCCTCGGCTTCTTGGGCCAATGCCAAAGCAGATGCCAAGTCTTTTGGCTGCGCTGGGAATACTACTGCTCTCAGGTTCTTCTTCAGACCCGAGATGAAAGCATGTAGGGCATCTGCCCTGACCTCCTTATTAAGTAATGTGGCCTGTTGTGGTTCGTGAGACATGACGATTTTATTTGTCACCAACGTTAGCTTTTTTTCGACTTCGTCGTAATAGCTCATAAGGCTTAAGTCGCCCTGTCTTACCATCTCTAGTTTTTGCCGTAAAAGGCGTAATGACGTTTTGTCGGAATAAGTGCAATCTAATCTAGCTATGATTGCGTCAAAGTTCAACACAGTATTGTGTGAGACTAACAGCGCTCTAGCTGGTCCTCGGATTTTATTCCGAATTATTGTTACCGCTTGGTAGAAATTAGCGCTGCCCACAAAGGGCTTGAATAATTCGTAAGCATCAGTGGCAGATTGCCTCCATGCTACGTATTCGTCTGCCACGCCGTCGAAATAGGGTACTGATTTTATTATGTCAAGTGGTAGGTCACATCGAATGTTTTGATCTACCTCTATTCTTTGGTATGTTTCTACCTGTGGTGCTTCTATGCGCAAACTATTTATTTGCTGTTGTAGCTGATTCAACTCTCCCCGGTGCCTTATCTCCTGAAGCTGTAAAGCGTTTTCTATCATGGCTTGGACCTGTTCGGGATTCATACTGTCTAGATTCTGCTCTTGGTTGACTAACTGATTGGGTTCTGTATCCCACTCTTCGTCGCTAGGGTCTTCTGTTTTGATATGCCTATTTGCGTCAAAACGGCTCATTAGCCAAAATATTGTTTAGGGCAGTTGTTAAACGTGGGTGTATTTTGGCAAGGTAAATGATCTTTTGTTTTAAAACTGACTTGAAATTAATACTTGATGAACTTACATGTTCTGAGACGTTCCTAGCCAGTTATTAAATTTCCGTTGGGCGCCAGTTATTAAGTTGTGATCCCGCGATGTCCAACGTCGTCCTCCGATTGTTCTGGCGACGTTCCAGCGATGACTCACTAGTAATTCCAAATTAGGAAGATTACGGTGGGAAACTTTACTTTGTTTCCTTTATTAATTACCGGCCTTGTGGCTCAGCAATGTATCAATTAAATAACAAAAATACGGCTTGGTGCCGGAGTATAATTCAAGACTAGTTGTGTCTTCTTTATTCCAAATTAAACTGAATACAAAATTGACTTGAAACTGAAGTCAAAGCTAAGCTAGAGCAAAAGCCACACAAAGCCCATAGCCGGCAATGCCGGCTCAGCATAACTGATAAACAAATCTACTTGCGCAATGTCAAGTATCATGTTTCCAGAACTGACTTTGTGTCGGGGCATTGCGCTGACTCTGATGTGTCAGCGGAATGCGCATGCGAGGGTAGCTTAAATACTAAGTCTCTAACAAGCGAGGGTTACTTGTTAACTTATATATTTAATTTTTGGACAGTTCCAGTTGAGTGTTTCAGCTCAGTTTGTTTTGTCAATTTTGATTGTAGAGAGACAGCTTTATTTTCGCATAACAATAGCGTCCGCCCTGCTGCACTTCCTCTCTTTAGAGGCAAATGAAATTTTCGATTACATTCCCATTTATTGAGAGACAAGCTGGCATTATTCTCTCCATGATTTCAATGATTACCCCTGCTTGGGATAAGATTATCAATAACTTTCCATTAGTTGATATTAATCAATTCTTAAAACATAAATTGCATTATAAAATTTTGTTAATTTTAGACACAGATCTATGTTGTGTTGTAGTGGATTCCTTGCATCCGTGAATCAAGTATTCTAATAAGTGTTAAATCATATATTCCTCGTATTTTGTTACTGTCAGCAATAAATATTACCAAAGGGCAGTCTTGACCTTTATTGTTCTCCAATGACTGTTGCGAAAGGGAAACTTTAAAAATGGAACAAGCCGAAGAAAGCGTCGTTTGCTGCATTAAGTATATCTTTTTATATATATTTGATCATAATGAGATTTAAATCGTTCTAGCCATATGCCTTCTACATTACTTCAATTTTCTATTATTAAATTATTTTCAGATTTTATAAGCATAGCTCAAAGGCTAGAGACATACAACTCAGTACGTAATTCAACATAAAGTATACACAGATTATAAATAATTGTATAATTAAGCATGGACTCCCACTGGTCAGAACTGAGAGTATAGGTAGTGCATATATTTATCTAACGAAGCTGAAGAATAATATCTAAGAAATATCACATCGCAGGCATTGTCCAATTTGGCTAACTATAAAATATTATAAAATTAAAATTATAATAAAAAGCACGAGTTAACGAAAATAATAATAACTCTTACTGCGCATGGTATACAGGAATATATATTAAATTATACTTAGTTCATGTACCTATGTTGTACTGATAAAGAATATATATATACTTTATGGGATCTTTCACGGCTGCTTCAGCCTGTTACCAACATTTTCACAAAATCATTACACCCTGAATTCTCATTTTCAATGGGTATAAAAACACACATTTTTAGCGTGATTAGCTTCAAATTATATGTATGTTTAAACAGCGTATACAAGATAATCGCATAATAATTATGGTGTTCATTAGTTATATGGCTAAGCATTATAGAACTGAGCTGGAGCCAAGCTCCAGATTCCAGAAAAGGCAAATATTGACTTGTTTGTTGATTGATTGACTAAAATATTTATCCCTTTCTCCGCTTGTCACTTGGATTTGCCCAACAACATTGCCAAAAGGTAACAGCATAAATTTCTACCTACTATTTCGAGCTTCAAATACAATTCGACAAATATTTGATACGTATTAAAAATAAGCAAAATTTATTTATAAAATTAATTTTTTTAATTTCAAAGTCAACAATTAATAAATTAATACTTAAGCAGCTAAATCACATTCAATGGCTAGATTAGATAATAGATTGGGTTATTTGATAATAGTTATACGTTTCACTGCTGGGATCCAAAGATTAGCAGTTGCTGTGATAGCGCCATTTGCTGCAGGAACTGCTGCTGTTGCTGCGGCAGTTGAATGCCCGTGGCCGAAACTCCCTGCTGGAATATTGCCTGCTGCAGCAACTGGCGATAGTAGAGACTGAAGCGAACCTGCTGTTCCATTATGGCAACCTGCTGCGCACGATATTGTTCGTATTGCTGAGACAAGCGAACATCCTGCGCCTGCTTGGCCCGCCGGCTCAAGAGACAAGCCAAGGTGTTGCGATCGCGACGCTGCTGCTCCTTGGGACTGCGCTGCCGCGGTGTCTGGCAACGGCGAACCATGTTGGCGTGATAGGTGCCGGCAAGAGCTGGTGGAGCACTGGGCTTCTGCTGAGTGCAGCCAGCTGCTGGCTGACTACTGGCGGCTGCATCGATGTTCTGTTCGTTGTCTAACCAGGGGCGAAAGAAACCTTTCGTCTGGCGACGTTTGCAGGGTGGCGGGTCTAGCGTTGTGTTCTCCTTGTTCTGCTCCAAAATCAGGTCCACATCTCGTTTGCGTTTGTGTGCCGCAAACTTCTTGTGCACATAGCCGTTCGAATTGTTGGACATTTCCATTTTCTCTCTGGAATATGTTGTTTATGCTTTGACGTTTAATGTCTGAATGCTGCTGCTGACCGCTTGATATCCTGTTTATATGCGCAGGATGGGAACACTAGGAGCAGGCCCCTCGGCCAGGTACGCACTTTGGGACTCGTAAACAGACGGATTAGCGCATCTTTATTACCTAACTAATCGTTGTTTTGGCCAAGCGCTTTGCATATTTTATGACCTGTGGCAGCTAATTGCTGGTGAACATGTTTTCGCTTTCTACCTGTGCTACCTGACCGGCCGCCGCAGCTCACCAAAGATCAAATCTGCTGTCGCGGCTACCGGAACTGGAAAACACTCGATCGCACATCGAATGCATACGAATCCAATTTTTATTGCCCTACTTGACGCCATGCGTTGTGTGTGGTCCAACGCGTTCTTCAAGGCATTTTTTGTCACAAATTCTAGGAAATTCTTGCAGGTCAAGAAAAGAATTGGCCAAACATAAGAATCTCAGATTGTTTTGTTTTACACTATCCCTATCTCAATCTGGCCAAGCACATCTAGTAGGAAAAGTAGTCATTACTATGAATTGTAAAACAATTATATTAATAACTATTATAAACTGGTGTTAACAATGCTTGTCAAATTGACACATTTCAGGCTTAGATATCTTATAAATTATCACTGATCAAGTGTTAATATATAAACATATATACTATACTTTAAAATAGAATGAATCATTCGAAAGGCACGTTGTCCAACATGTGTTTGTTTGCCGATTCGCCAAGCTCCTAAGCAGATCTGAAAACATTCCATTTTGTAGTGTCTAACAACGAACGCCTCTGTTAATCCAGTCAAACTATCATTGTGTTCAATTGGCTTTATTGATATAATTGAATCAAGTATGATGTAGGAGAGCACTTAGATATTTAATAACCGAAAAGGGCAACTAGATTCTGTTAATACATTACCTTATTGAAACTGAGCTTGTTGGTATTGTGTAAAAATGAGACTTCGCTGAGTACATATCTAGTAAAGAGAGCTGATGAGGCTGCAAGTCTGTCTTGATACTGCGAGAACGAGTAAAAATTATGATAATGAAATTATGATAATGAAATTATGATTATGATGATTAACGATAACATAAATAATAAATATAATATATAGAATCATTGTCTGTATCGCTATTATAAAAATTGTGTCGCTGGACTTAGGGCATCTGCCAGTCCAACACTCCCGAGTAAAATACTCTTGTTTCATTCAAGACTGTTAAGTTGCTATAATTAATAGCCAGTCAAATGTGAAATACACATTAAATGATATAGTAAATTATATAGTATATAATGATAAGTACATTTACGCGCAGCTTTAACTCTTGAAAAATATTTCTTTTTAAATTCTCAAAAAATAATTTTATTATAAAATTTAAAGCAAGTCGTCCTAAACTAAATAGATGTTCAAAATAGGACTATATTTGAGTGATTTTTATTATTTCGATTCACCTTTCCCTCTAAGCGGTTTACATAGAAACTCAGCTAAAGTCTAAATTAATTAAAATAAATGAATTCAGTTTATAATGATTTTTATAGGTAATCATTTAGGTAATAGGCAGAAGGAGGCATGGGACCCAAAAAGTATATATATTTTTGATCAGTACAAAGAGCTAAGTCCATCTAGCCACGGCCGTCTGTTGTAAACCGCAACAGCTAGACACTTGTAATTTGAAATATATATATACCTGTATACATACAGTGTAGGTGTGTATGTATATAGAGGCATATATACCTTTATATTATATATCAAATTTTAATTTAGTTTTAAACGTTACCTAAATAGCGCAAAAGGAAACTTTGTGTTTACTGTGCAGTTGCCTGTCGTGAATAAAGGGACTTTATATATTTCTGAGCTTCGATATATCATCATCATCATCAAGTCAGCAATCAACAAATACTTGAGACTTGTGCTGCGGCACATAGACACACCTGGAAACGGTTATCGCGCTCCAAATCAATTAAGAAAGTCTGTTGAATATTTCATTCAACAATTGAGTTCCCATATATACATATCTCATACGCAGCCGCTGCGCAGCAAGCTGAGCGTGTGTGAAATAGTTATTAATTAATGTTTCAATACGGAGTATAGATCAAGTCAAGTGTCATATTTTTCTTCCCTCTTAGAAATCTATTAAATACAGTTCATCAAAGACATATTCCTTTAAAAACTTGATTTATTGATGGTCAACAATAATAAATAAATAAAACTTTAAAAGTTATCACAAAGTCAATAAGAGCTTAATTCTATATAGATAAAGTTGGTCCTTCTAACGCTTCGTGGCTGTTGCCTGCTGTTGGGGCCAACCTTGCTGTACGTGCTGCAGGCTCTGCATTATTTGGCTGTCGGGCAGTGGAGCTTGTGTCGCGGCCATTGTCTGCTGCAGGAATCTGACATAGTAGAGGCTCAATCGCACTTGCTGCTCCAAGTTGGCCTCGTGCTGCTGACGATATTGCTCGTACTGCTGCTCTATGGCCAGCTGCTTGGCTTGCCGGGCGCGACGACTCAGCAGACAGGCTAAGGTATTGCGATCGCGACGCTGTTGCGCCTTGGGACTGCGCAGGCGTGGCGTATGGGAGCGCACCATGTTGGCATGGTAGGTGGTGGCCACTGTATTGGGCGATGGTCGTCGCGGTGGCTGCTCCGTCGTTGAGGTTATGGCCGCTCGAGGCTCATCCAGCCAGGGGCGAAAGAACCGTCGCTTGGCGGGCAGTTCCATAATGAAAACCACATCATCATCCGTCTCCTCGTCCTGACTGCGTTTGCGCTTTAAAGCAGAGAACTTTTTGTGCGCATAGTTGGGGGCAATTGCGGTGTTATCCATGCTGGCAGATGCTGTTGATGTTGTTCTTGTTTGCTGTCTGGCTGTCGACTGTGCTGCCATTGTGCTGGGCGTAATCTTTTATGCAACATTAGGTAATGGATATCAAAGCGCTTGACAATCCGTCGGAAGATTTCCCACCAGTCCCTACAGCAGGTATTTCCCAATCAACTTCATTCATCCCAACGTGTGCCTGCGCTTCGAGCTAATCGCCTTCAATGTAACCCTCGAGCATTTCTGTGCAGCTACCTGTGCTGCCAGCTTGTTGCCGTTGTCGTGCCAAGGGCAGGTATGTCCTACACAGGCTTGCCTAATCCGCCGGCTGATGGCTGCTGGCATTGCTTGCGTTAGTTAAGGGCGTCATAAACCAGTTGTCCTTTTTCGACTATTTGTATCGCCAGCGATTTTCACTGGAAATACCTGTTGAGTGAGCAGAGACAGAGCCACAGCCAGGCACTATAATCCTGGCGCTCATATGGCCACGATGTCTGCAAGCGCATTGTTCGGCTTTCTTTGTGGCACCTGAAAAGTTTTATTGTTACCGCCGGCCGATCCGCATTGCATTTATGACTTCAGCTTGTCCAGCTGAAAATGTTATTCTTCCCAAAGGTGTTGGGTATCATTACAGGCTTACCCGAAAGACCCAGTCATATATATATATGCTCATATATACATCGTAGTCGTTGTCGCTTTCCTTTTTCGAAGTGTGTGCGTTTAGAATTGTGTCGGATTTTTCATTCAATGGCTCGTTGTGAGAGCCTTGTCCATTGATTTATGTAGTCACTGCAGTACGACTGCTAAACGGATTTATTTTTAGGAGGGCTTGAGTGCTGCCCTCAACAATTGCTGAGCCATGAACCTGGACGTCAACTGTAGAGTATTAAACTGAAAGATTGCTATATTGTTTGATTACAATGATGTGACTCCACCTTCTGTTAACCGGAAAGAATTGCTGCGACAAATGTAGTGCAGACGTCAATATTTCAGCGATTATGTAACTGTTCCGCTTCGTTCATGATGGAATACACTTACACAAACCTACCGGGAAATGCTATCTCCAGGGCAAACTTCTTAGAAAGGAAAACCAAAAGAAATCCGTAATTGGAAAATGTGAATGAATCGCCCTGTTATATGATCGATGCACTCCATGCTCTTTCTCACAGATCGTCGTATGATTTACGATTCATTTTTTAGTTTTTTATTTCCTTTGTATTTAGTACATAATATGCTCCTTAAGGGTACCACAATCACATTTAACACAAAAGAAATTTTACAGAGTTTTTATACAAAATTGCTTTAATTTGCATAAATTATAAAAAAAAGTTTTTGATAGGTAAACTTCTTAATTTGTAGAAGCCCATTCGAAAATGATTTGCCTTCCAGAATTTTCTAGGACATTTTGTTCGTGTTAAACCTCTTATACATATTTATATATATAGATCATATAAATCAAGCTAGAATACTCTGAATACTGAATAATATCCCAATATCTTTTACTAATTAGATATATTTAATTTAATTAGATATTTAGCTACATTTCCGAGGGTTTTAGTAATTTTATTTTATATTAGGTAAATATAATTACAATTCTAAAATAAATATAAAAACCATTTATGATGAAAATCAACTCACATCTGATAGATTATGCATTAATATGCTTTTATAAACAGCATTATATAAACACAAGATTCTGAGAAGTCAAATATTTTGTATCACAATTAAAAACTAAAAGTGAAATTTTGGTTCTTTAAAGGATAATTAGCTTCAAAATTCAGAGAAAATATAATAAAAAAATGTAGCTTAAGGTTTTAAGATTATAACAACAAATTACAACAAAACTCCTTAATATTATCTAAGAATTAAATCTAAAAGGGTTAAAACTATGCAATCTACGCATTCGATTATTTCATATGTAGATAAATTATAAAACCTTGCAGCTAAATTAAATGAGATTCTTTGCACATTAAAATCGATGCAACATTTCGGGAAATTCCCAATAAATTTCCATTCAATTGGCCATTGTCAGCAAGTCGTAGAGCCGCAGAGATCTTGGAATGCTGTCGAACTTAATGAGCCAGATTAGCGGTAAGCGAGATAAGAATCCAGAAAGCGCTGAGCCGACTCGGCCGATAGCAACGGGATCTGCTACCTCATCAAAGAACATACCGTAGTCTGGGCGCAGGCGCTGTCTGAATGTTCGTCTTCTGTTGAAATTTTCCTGAAGCAAATACCAGGAAAATTGAAATAAGCGCAGGCAGCCAGCAGAGAGTAAAGAAGGTGCTCGTATGTCTGTAGGTGCGAGCCGAGCACTGCTGGGCAAATGAAAAATTAATTACAAAAAGGACTTGGCCAAGAGCAGGTAACAAACCCCATTTCATATATATTCTGGAACAAATCCTTTTCTCTTTATGACAATGCAGACCTTTTGTCAACGAAGTTTTTCCCATAAACAAGACGCAGCTCACCTTAATGATAATTTTGCTGTGCTGGCAGGTAGCAGTAGTCCAGTCTACTATAAAAGCGGCTCTTGCGCAGCATAAGGAGCACAGTCAACAGACAACTACCAAAGTAACAACAGCTCATCTTAACATTCTAACACACAAATACTCAGCTTCGCTATGGCACCCTCACAAATGGATTATCCACAACACGAAAACACGTCGAATATCAACTATACGCACAAGAAGTTCAACACAGGCTGCTACAAGCACAAGAAATTCGGCAAACGCGACAGCAGCAAAGATGATGCACCCACAGCGCCACCATTGTTTCGTCCATATGCACTGAGCGATAATACGCCACGGAAACGTCGTCAGGAGTCTGAGCAGCGACAATGTCAACAGAAACCGCAATACCAGCTGCCACCAACGCCGCCAACAACCCCACCTCAGCAACAACATCAACAGCAGATACAGCCACATCAATTATATACGCCCACAGCCACGCCCACGCCAATCATTAATCATCAAGCGTTCGCCTTCATGTTGCAAAAGCAACGCGCCGTGCTTCAAATGCGTCACCTGCTCAGCATCAACCCGGATGCAAATACCTGGCCCGCAGACCTGCGCAATGCCCTCTACTCCATGCTGCAGCAATGAGGGAATAGCTGCTTCTAGGGGTGGCATTATGATGGCCCCCAACTTGGTGATTTGCCTAGCAACCAGTGATATAGAAATATAAGTGCCTTACAAATTGTATATGATATGAAAAGTGAAAATAATGAAAACTACGTAGAGCTTGTAATTGTACATAAAATATTTAATCAAACTAATAGCTTAAAGAAAACCAAATAAAATAAATTAGTATATTATATAAAAAAATCATCTGGTTTTTAAATTGGGTGCACGATATGAAAAATAGTTTTTAGGTTTTATCTGAAGAGTTTCTATGATATTGCTATAGATTAGGCAATTACGGCAACTGCCGAGTTTCCATTTTATTTTCAGTGATATATTTGGAGAGAGAAACATTCTACAAAGATTTAATATGCGTATATCAATTATCATTTCATATATACATAAATAGTCAATCAATAGTACATCTGGCTTATCTGTTATCAAAACTGAAGTACACAAAAATAAACTACAGAAGAACAAATCTTCACATCTCACTACTGAAGGAGAAACTTAAATAGCAGCGGGCAGATATTAAGATGCACTATTGTATTGTATGTATTTTATACAATTAATTAAGAGTTCATAATTTAATAACATTTAAAGATATTTGCCATCAATAACACATTATGATAGTGTATACGCAGTAATTTACAAACGTTAAAATATACCAATAATTTTAAGGTGCTTTATATTTGATGATTGCAAAAAATTACTTTTAAACTGAATTAAATAGAACTCTTAAAAAATTAATAGGGTTGACTTAAAGCCTAAAGGGAATTATTAAATCCCAAGCGATCGAAAACAGAATTCGATTGAACTCTTTGCCTGTTGCCGCCATTTACGCTCGAAGTTCGACGTGGAGCAAAATACTGCAGCTTTTGATCCCTTTGCTGATTTCGGTGCGGTGGCGGGGGCTGTGTGGCGGTTGCCGATGCGCCTAGTCGCTTGTGCACCGGCAGTGTATCCTGTCGTGTGAGCAATTCATCACTGCGCATGCGTATTGCTTTTCCTTTAACAGGACTGAGGCGCGCGCCAGGTTTCTTTGGCGGAGACGCTTTGAGATTGTACGTTTTACGTGTGGCATGCAGCTTGGAGACTGTAATTTGAAATGAAATTAATACATATGCTTCAAAAAGTTAACAACAGCAAGGCTTACCCATGCCTAAACGGGACTTTATATTACGCGCAAAGTTGCTATTGCCACGCGCCTTATATGGCGTGTGTGGAGCAATTTCTCGCACTTCCGCTGTTGATGCGAATTTAACAATTTTCTCAGTAGGTGCTGCCATTTCAACATCCAGTTCACTTTCGCTCCCTTCACTGCTTATATCACTGTCAGCCTCTAAATCATCATCATCCATGCTATCATCTTCGCTATCATCGCCACATTTCAATGGCACCTTGTGGACTAGCATTACCTTCTGTTGTGGTCGCGCCAATGGCGTTGCTGTATTCTTGGCCTTCACTATTGAACTGTTACGCTTGGTGCTACTGCCTCCGGTGGTGCCTTTGGTGTTCTTTAAAATCGATTTTATCTCCTTGGCTAGACCTGTATTCTGCTGTACTGCATCCAAGGACTGCTTGCCGCCGAGGCGTGCAAAGACAGAGTTATTGCTAGAGGTAGCAGCCACCTTGCCGCTAGACATTTTATGAACGCCAGTGATGTGCACGCGCACGTTGCTTTCGGCGCTGCTGGAGACGATGCCCTCCTGAGCATCATCATCGCACTTGCTCTTGTTTAAGCGCGCAAAAACGTCAGTTTTTTTGGTGCTAGTAACGCGATCTGAGTATACTGCAATAGATTTAAAGCAATTAATATAGGAAGGTGTGGTTGTCAGTATGCACATAATATATGATTGAAACATACACTGCTCCCGCTTGGCCAGAATTTGCTTGCTCCGTTCTGTTGTGCCCGATGGCAAAGTAACTTTATATTTGCCTTCATGCTCTGGTAGCACGCGTCGTGCTGGTTTTGTTGGTGGCGACCCTTTATTGGCACTGGTGCATGCAGCTGATGTTGCTGAGATAAGTTTGTTGCTAGGCGATGCAGCAGATGCACTAACAATGTTTTTGCCCTTGGGCTTGAGTTTGGGCAAAGGCGTCTCTGTTATGAGGACTTTGTCGAGTACATGCTGGTCGCTAACTTGTTTGGCATGTCGCAGTATTGCAATTATATCACCCATGGGAGTGATGCCCATCTCACGCAAGTATTCCTTATTCAAATCGAGAAGCATGTCGTCCTGTATGCGATTCTCAACAAATATGTGAGCATAGCTGGCCGCTGCTGGGGATGGAATTCCCCCGGCATTGAAAAACTTCACCCATCGTGCTGTAATATAGTTGTATAAGTATTTTTCGGATAAATTTTACTTTCGTACTCACCTGCACTTGACTTTGACATGGCTTTTGAAGAGAAACGCTCTTTTTCAATACTTATTCTATAACTTTATTTTTATTTTTCACATATATGCAGTGCAGTAGAGTTGTATTCAATTGTTTGGAACCAGTTCAATTGAACGATTCCCTAATCTGAACTGGATCGACTAACGTCATTCAATTGAGTTCATTTTGTTTTGACCAAGTTAAAGATTTGTCAATTTTGTAAGACCTTGAGGAAAGAAAGGTTTTCGAATTATTTTAATAAAGTAATTTCAGGTATTTTGTAATACATAATCTGCTTCAAACGTAGTCACACCACAAAAGGCTATGCTGCATCCCTGTCGATATATCGATGACTTTAAAATGCAAGCTTCGATAAGCATTTTATTAAACAGCTGATTCTAAAGAACGACAGATAATTGAAATAGTATAAACAACGCCGATACACGTGCGGCTTGAAATTAATATTATATACATTTTGTTTGTATTGCAACATGTCTGGGCGTATGGAGCTACTTAGTGAGCAGGGATTGCGTCTGGATGGCCGTCGGCCCCACGAGCTACGCCGCATCAAATGTAAACTGGGTGTATTCGAGCAGCCCGATGGCAGTGCCTACATGGAACAGGGCAATACAAAAGTTCTAGCTGCGGTGTACGGACCACATCAAGCAAAGGGCAAAAAAACAGAAGGCAATGATCTGGTCATAAATTGTCAATACAGTCAGGCTACATTCTCCACGTCGGAGCGTAAAAATCGTCCACGAGGCGACCGAAAATCACAGGAGTTTAAAATGTACTTGCAGCAAGCTCTGAGTGCAGCCATCAAATCCGAGTTGTACCCACGCTCTCAGATCGACATTTATGTGGAAGTACTACAGGCGGATGGTGCTAATTATGCTGTTTCCCTTAACGCTGCCACTCTGGCGCTTATCGATGCAGGAATATGTCTAAACGAATTTGTTGTTGCCTGCACAGCATCCTTAAGCAAAGCAAACATTCCACTCACTGACATCTCACACATAGAGGAAGTGTCCGGCGGTCCAAAGCTGACCATAGCAGCACTCCCCACTGCCGAAAAGATTGCATTTATGGAGATGAGCGAACGTTTTCACATAGATCAACTGGAGACGGTCATAGAAACCGCAATGGCCGGCTGTCGTGAAATACGTGATATACTGGAGTCAGCTGTTAAGGAGCATCTCATCCACATTGGTAGCGCAGCTGACTGGGCGCGTGTTTGTTAAAATAAAACAATTTTTATTAACTCTTATAATTTAGTTAACAAATATTTAGTTTTTATCTGCCGCCTCCTGGGCCGGCGGCTTCCACGTTTGGAGTAAATCCACAAGTGTCTGTCTGCGGTGTTCCAACTGCAGGCGTTCAATTAATCCACTCAATTGCTGCCCGCCCTCTAGAAATCCGCTTAAATTGTGAAGCGTACCACCCTGCTGTACTCGATGATCCGTCACACGATCTTGAACAAAATTATACGTGCGAATCTTTTCGTTTCGATTTAGATTACCCTGTTGTGCCTTACGGGTGGCCTTTTTACTCGCCTCGGTACTCTCTAGCTGCTGTTGTATGAGTTTCGCTTGCAGTCGCTTAATGGCTAGTTCGCGATTCTTAAGCTGTGAACGCTCCGACTGCGATTCAACAGCCAATCCCGAAGGTATATGTACAACACGAACAGCCGAATCTGTGGTGTTCACATGCTGGCCACCGGCGCCGCTGGCACGTTTCGTTTCAATCTTCAAATCCCGCTCTGCAATTTGCACCTGCACATCGGCAGGCCTTGGAATTACAGTTATAGAGGCAGTACTGGTGTGAATACGTCCGGATTTCTCAGTAGCCGGCACACGTTGCACTCTATGAACGCCCGCCTCGAAGCGCAGCCAATTGTACGCCTCCGGGTCATTAACTTGTAGATTAGCATGACGCAGTCCACCAATGTCGGTGGTCTCACGGTCAAACTCTTCATACTCCCAGCCCATGTGCTCGAAGTAGCTGGTGTACATGTCATATAGTTCCTGAGCAAACAGCATGGCCTCCTGCCCGCCGGCACCAGCGTTCACCTCAAATATCAGCGCCGGATAATCTTCATCGTCAGACAGTGCGAGCAGCTCGTGCAGCATTGCCTCCTCCTGTTTGCGCAACAGATCTGCGTAAACACTATTTTCCTCTTCCATTAGCGCTCGCATATCCTCGTCCTTCTCAGCTGCCAAGTCTTTCTCTGATGTTATATTGCGCTGCATGGCTCTATGCTTTTCGAGGCTATTGACAACAGGATCCAGACGTGACAGACGTGCATAGAGGTTGCTGTTGCCGGCTGCATTAACGCGCAGCGCATAATATTCTTGACGCAGTGATTCCAAATATGTTTGCAGCTTCTCATTATGAAAACTCAGCGGATCTGTGCTAGCCCATCGACGCACTAGATACTCACAGCGCACTCTCAACAATTTCCGAAGCATGATTATTTTAAACAAATAATAATAATTCTATTTTTGGTTAAATAACTGTTTAGCCCAAGACCTGCTTGCTGATATGTTGCATAGCAGTGAGAGCTTGTAAGTGAGTACATAGTCGTTTCAAATGTTAATCAACAGCTATTCGGTATAGCCAGTTTTGCAAATATTTAAATTATTTGACAGCCTTAATTTCAATTTATATTAGAACTATTTATTTTAATCAAATATATAAATCAATATTGCCCGGCTATAGTGTCTACCGATTTAAAATATATTCACACCCGTTATTAAAATTTCAGCAAGTATTAAAATTGATGGGTGCCCACAGTTGTGTTTGATATTACCAGTGTTGAGTAAAAGCTTATTTATTTCTTATTCTGATGGGCTTGTTCAGTCGCGAAACAATTATTTAGTTATTATATTTAGCCATATCAGTGCAATAAAAAGTACTTGCGAAGTACTTGAGAGTGTTCACACCATAATCAAGAAAAGTAATAATATTCTGTGCAACAAATATGTGCAAGTTACATGCATAGCTATTTTCAGTTGTGTGTGCAAGTGTGAATGTGAGTGCCTGTGTGTGTGTGTGTGTGATGTGTTGTGTGCTTGATTAATGAAAACACTTGTGTTCGTAGTGGTGTAAAGTGCAGCAATAGCAATTAAGTTTAATTAAATAATAAATTGGATGTGAAAAGGCTGCCAGAGTGCATTTATATAGAGTCAGTATAAGTCGTAGCAAGAGTGTAACGAAATGCCACCACTGAAAAGCTACTCCTTGCACCATGAATTCAATGCAAATGCAAATTGTCACAACGGCAATGACAACACCACCGATAACGATAACGATTACTTCAACCAGCCTGCTGCAGCATCTGCTACGGCTGCAGCTAACACCCAACGCACAAATCTACCCTCATATTGCAACGCCCAGTACCCATTTAAGGTGCTGTCCAATCTAAACCAATTGCGGGAGCAATCACGCTTCTGCGACGTCGAAATTGTTGCAGGCGAGTCCACGTTCAATGCACATCGCGCAGTGCTGAGCGCTGCCAGCGCCTACTTCGAGGCCATGTTCAGGCCCGAATTGGGCCTGAACGAAGTCAAACAGAAATCAGTGGTGTTACATACAATCGATGGCGACATACTACACATACTCTTGGACTTTATCTACACAGGGCGCTGTGAAATTACACAGGTAAGCATTTAAAATCTATAAATAAATACAAATATTATCGATGATATCTTTTTCTCCAAGTCAAATGTGCAGGAATTGCTCGCCGCCGCGGATATGCTTCAACTGAACGAAGTTGTCGACGGCTGTTGTGAATTTCTTTGTCGCGAGCTGCATGCCACCAATGCGCTGGGTATATTGCGGTTTGCGGAAGCGCACAATTGCGAATCCCTCGCAAAGAGTGCAATGAATTTTGTGCAGGCCAACTTTCCAGCGGTAAATAAAAATGCATTTTTACTGAATTATTTAAAAACCATGTCCACACCAAGTCATGAGCCCAGCACCCCACACAGTCAATAGACCATGAAACGTCCCACTTAGCAGAAATCTAATCAATATTCCACTTAATTTGAATGCATTAATTATGGCCCGGAAGATAACTCAACCAGGCACAACCAAAAATTCTGTTAGACTCATTAGGGTGCTCCTCTCCACGGAAATCTTTAGTAAAAGGCGAAAGATTTATTCGACAAATGAAGAGAAGCCAGAGTAGTTTTCCAACACGAACTACCCTGTAGTAGCTTCAGTGCTCGTTTGAATCGTTTGAGAATTTTGTCATTAATGCTTTAAAAAAAACCCTTTGAGATAGGCTACAAAAATATGTGCAGGATCTGTTACCCAACTACGTTTTATAAAATTCTCAACCAGTTCTACCACTACGCTGGTGTAGTGTTGTGAGTTTACCGTTGTATAGTTATCGCTTCTCGGCCTTATGGCTAAGATCAAAGTGTAGTATCTGTTCTTATCAGCTTAACATCTGATAGTTTCTCCATTGGAGAACAACAAATGTTAAACTGATTTTTGGAAATAGACGGAGTGCTAGGGGCTTGCTCCACCTCTGTCACGGGTTGGCCCGGTATTGCAGTACCGCCGGGATTTCGGCCCAATTAATTAATAAATATGAAAATAGTTGAAAATGTAGTACTTTGGAGTGTTTATGCAGTTTGCCGATGGGCATAAAACATTTATATTTCTGAATTTGATATCTTGTGTAAACGGTTCTTCAGCTTTTACGTATATTTGATTATTTTAATAGGTGGTTTGTCGGGAAACGTACTTGAATGTAGGCAGTTCAATTTATATATATTTTTTAACAATAAATGGTGTTTTTTGCATTCGTCGATCTCAGATAACGCTAGAGGATGAGTTTCTGGAAACACCGCAGACTTTGTTATCGCAGCTGCTTAACTCGGAGTTGTTGCGCGTGGACTCTGAATCGCAAGTGTTCCAGGCGGCGCTTCGTTGGATTAAACATGATGTTACGCAGCGTCGTTGCTATGTCTTCGACATACTGTCGCATGTCCGCATGGCCTTAGTGCCCGTGAAGGTAATAGATAAGGCTTTGAAGGATGATTGTCGCGACATGTCTGTAAAAATCGCGTTACGCTCCATTTGCCGAGATATTGCTTCGAAACGCGGCCAATTGGTACCACTGCGCGTGTGTCCACGGCAGCTGGCAAAGAAAAATATCTACATAATTGGAGGTTCACATCGGGACACGCCACGCACTTGGAACTCGGCAGATTGTACTTTCGAGACGGTGGCCAAGTTCGACATTTTCCGCCGAGAATGGACTGAGACGGCACCCATGGAGGTGGGCCGCATTCTGCCTGGCGTGTCAGCATTGAATGGCAAGATTTATGTGGTGGGCGGTGAACGTGGATCGCAAATTCTGGCCAACGGCGAGGTATACGATCCTCAAAACGATATATGGCAGCCAATAGCACCGATGATAGTGCCCCGCTGTGAATTCGGATTGTGCACAATGGGTGGCAATTTGTTTGCAGTGGGCGGTTGGATTGGTGACGACATTGGAGGCACAATGGAGTGCTATGATCCAGAGAAAGACATCTGGAAATTGATTGGCAGCATGCCGCAGCCACGGTTCAGCATGGGCGTCGTTAGTTTCGAAGGCCTGATCTATATAGTGGGAGGCTGCACCACGACCACTAGGCATCTGCCAGATTTAATAAGGTAAACCTCAGCCAAATATATCCAATTAAGTATATGTAACTGATAGATTTGTTTTTGGTTGCCAGTTACAATCCCGTGACAAAGGAATGGACACAACTGGCACGAATGCAAACGGCACGCTGTCAAATGGGCGTTGCTGTGCTCGATCGCTACTTGTATGTGGTGGGTGGGAGCAGCATTAGCCAGGACATACTTAGCTCAGTGGAGCGCTACAACTTCGATGATGATAAGTGGTCGACGGTGTGCGCTCTGAACGTTCCACGCGCAATACCCGCCGTGGCCGCTGCCGATGGTTTACTCTATGTGGCTGGTGGTGATCAGGTGAGTTAATAAGACACATACTCTAATTGTTATTGGAACTGAGTATATATTCCTTGCTTTTTAACAGCCTTGCGAAGTGAACTTCTATCGTGCTCAAGTCACAATCAGCGCTGTTGAATGTTACGATCCACTTTCAGATACTTGGAAGAATTGCCCTGACTTGCCGGTTAGCCGATCCGAGGCTGGCGCCGTGGTTGTGTAAAAAGCATCGCACCAGCAAGTGGTCCGCGCTTGCCTAGAGTCGAATAGCAGTCTTACGAATCTTATTTAAACACTTTCATTATGCCCTACGAGTCACACTTAATGTGTTACCAATTCTATTTTCTCTTTGAAAGTTGAACGTAGTGCTCTCCAAACATAGCTTTGTTGCGTGCGGTTAATGTTTATAAACGTGTAAGCGTAGCTCAGCTATTTTTACACATCCAGTTTAGTATTATTTAGTAGTTAGTCTGAAAAGTAACAGAAGCAGCAGCAGCAGCAACAACAAAGCACAGCCGGCATCTAATTGTTCCGTAGTAGTTCACTTGAATAAATACAAAACTCAAATTCACACGGCTAAAGGTGTTTATCGACGTATCGTAATTGCTGAAAAATTCTTCAACTCAAGCCTATTTAATGTTTATGTTATCGAATAATCATTAAAATATGTGAAATCGCCAGCATTATTGGAGCGTTCTTGAAAAGTGCGTGCCCGAATAACTTCGTAACTGTATCATTAAAATGTACCAAAAACGAAAAAGCAAAAAACATTCAAAAGAAAGAAACTGTATTAATAATAGGTGTATTTACGAATAATAAACATACGACTAAATCAAGAGCCGGTGTTTCACTTAAACATTAAAAGTAAAATTAGTCGCATTACAAATTCGCTTTAAAACGTCACGAGACGGGCCCCACACAAACAGAAAAAATACATCAAGTCCAAAAAAATTATTTACGGATCTTCTGATGGCTCACATATTTCATGTCAACTTAACTTAGACGTCGTCCATCAAACAAAATGGACTGGCCACCTAAACGAGTCAAGTCCATTTTAATAATGACAGTAGATTGAATTCGCTCCTTTCATATTTATTACTTAGTTGGGCCGAAATCCCGGCGGTACTGCAATACCGGGCCAACCCGCGACAGAGGTGGAGCAAGCCCCTAGCACTCCGTCTATTTCCAAAAATCAGTTTAACATTTGTTGTTCTCCAATGGAGAAACTATCAGATGTTAAGCTGATAAGAACAGATACTACACTTTGATCTTAGCCATAAGGCCGAGAAGCGATAACTGTACAACGGTAAACTCACAACACTACACCAGCGTAGTGGTAGAACTGGTTGAGAATTATAAGAACTCAAAATTAAAATAAATGCAGTGTTGCAAAACGAAGTCAACAATGGTGACGCAAGACGGCTGCTTCAGCACAGTGTTGTAAAATGGTAAAACGGTAACACGGTCAGCTGTAGTTCAGCGTTCAATTTTTCCCGCGTAAAGTGGTTGCTTTTTGAATTGTAATCATTGTTCAAATTTGTATTTCAACCGAAAATGTAAAATATTTGTTTCATTTGTGTTTTCTTATTTCTAAATTAATGTAATTATTTAATGCTTAACAATGCCACCTCCCAGCTCGTCCAAAGGAAATCCAATGAGCTTGGATGCTGATTCTTTGGCAGGATCCAGCAAAAGTACACGACGGCAGCGTCAGAAAGAGAAACACCTCAAACGTTTGGAGAACACCCAGCATACACTATTCACCAAACATTTCTCGAACTATCGGCTACCGGTTTCTGTTGCCTCGGAAGATTTTAATATGGTGCAGTTAAGTAGGTATGACTCCATTACAGATCGAGAACGCCATCCTCCGCTCTTTGTAATTCCGGATCAAAATTCGCAATGGGCGCGCTTAAAAATGATTTCATGTCCATGTCACGGGTGCTCCAGTACATTAGATCCGAATGGTTGGTTGTCGCATTACCTAAATGTGCATATACGCCGATTAGGTGTCCCCTTTGTGGATGTGCCATTTCCTGTTGAAAAGCAAACTTTGCGTGCCTCTTGCAAAGTAAGTTGTCTCGATTACGATGTCAATACCCTGCTGGGTGTCTATGGATATCAGCGTTTAGGTCTGAATCCGCTCAAATGTCAACGCAATACTCTATTGCCAAAGGAATATCGCAAGTACTCTCAGCATGGGGTTCTACTGCTTTTTGCCTGTCGCACGCGACATGGATTACTTTGGCACCGTAAGCAAATGGATGATGTGATTGCCATTTGGGTAGTGACACCGATGCAAGGTGTGACTGTATCGTTGCGCTGTGTGGTACAACCCGCAAGGTCGACACGTTACTATTCCAAGCGTCTGCAATCGCGTCTACTGCCGACTTCTGGCGTAAAGGCAACGCCTTGTCGTGACTTCATTAAAACTGACTGCAACGTCGTCGTCATTAGCTGTCAGGATTTACTGCAGATGCCACAAAGTGAGGATCAGCAGGTACTCAATGTGGAACTGCATGTGATGGGCGAGCAAAGGAATTAATAAAACAACATTTTGGCAATAGATTAATTATATATTGTTTAACAAACTAAACATGCAAACATAATGATAACATAGATTTGAACTAAGGAATTTATGCAGCAAACACAATTTTAGAGATTACGCTCGAGAAAAGCTGCAAGCTGGTTCGAAAAGCGCAGCTAACATCTTCAATTGAGTATATAGTTGGTGAATAAACAATATACTAGCATTTGTTATAGATCTTACTTAAATATATTTCGTACAATTTTGTTGAGTTCGCACTCGTTACACTTAAAAAAATAGTAAAAGAATTTACAAATTTTGAGCCTACATACGTACAATTTAGATTTGATAAGCTATTACATATGGTATTATACATGTATACATGAAGGTTGTATACAACTCTCTGGGTGTGTATGTATGTGTGTTGTGGGGCATGCAACGTTCGGCCCGCACCTATCGCAATTGCAATTGCCTAACACAAAAACAAAACGAAATGCAAAAGAATCGACACGATAAAACGAAACGTACTTAACGAGAAAGATGGTAGCTAAAAAGAACATTGTCTATTGTATTAAAACCGGGTTCTAGCCCGCCTTGTGCGTTTGCTTTTGTCGCTGCAACGCTTCGAACGCTTCGATTTCTTTCTTTTCTTTGGCTTGGTTTCTGCGCTCGTACTCCAACCGATGCAGGATTATGCGCTCCACAATGCGCTCCGTGGTCATGTCGTTGCCAGAGTCGAGCAGCTCAAAGATGGCTCGCGTCTTAGGCACAGCATATGGATCTAATTTTCCATCCTCAAGAGCGATCGGCGTGCGCCCATGGCAAACAATGTCTATCTTGAAGTGATCCAACAGCTCCTCAGTAACACAGTAGGGTGCGCCAATGACAACCTCGTTGACAAACTACAAAGCAGAGAAGGGATGAGAGGTTAGTATCTGTGGGATATGAGGCTACACCTTTTAGCATTCCTTACTTTGCAGGCCAAAACGCTAAGCACACGCTCATGCAGATTCATTATTGGATAGTTACTGCCCTTATACGAGTTGACAACGGGATCTGTGTGCAGGCCTACGATCAAATAGTCGCCCAATTTGCTAGCTTTTTCGAGAAAATCCAAATGACCCACGTGGAAGAGATCAAATGCGCCGGCCACGTATACCTGCGAACAAAACGATAATTAAAGCAATGTAATACAGAAATAAATATTTGTCTAATATTACAATCTTATCGCCCTGATTTGGGGATTTGCCATCGCTAAATTGGATTATCTTCTGTGTAGTAGGCAAGAACTGGCTGCAGCCTGTCCAGGGACTCTTGGCTGCCGAATCCTGACCCATGTTCGATGAACCTAAACGGGATTGCAGTTGTTGAATTTTTAAAAGTTTTGCTGTTTATTATTCAAATTGATCGTTTTTTGTAGATATGAGCATTACATTATAGAGCGCAAATTACAGTTAGGTTTTGATTTGATATTTCATTTCGATTTCATTTGATTGCAGGTTTGATATATATATATATACATATATATTTAAGGATATTCATTTTGGTTTGAACGCGGGGCGGCAACACGCACGGGATTTTGAGATTTTAGTTCATAAGTTTTTGATTTTTGAGAGTTTTGGTTAGTGGTAAACAGTGCGCACATAGAAATAAAAAGAAGAGAAATAGTAAAGATGTAGAGAGCAAAATAAAGCAAATGTTTTTTCTGTTACAGGTTCAAAGAGAATGCTACGGACTAAATAGACAGATTCTAACGGGGAAATTATTCAACCAACTAAAAGCAAAGCGTGCGTAGCCCAGGTAGGTTCGTATTAATTATATAAGTATGGGGAAAAATATGAAACTTTGCTTCTCTCCTCATACTTGGATCTGATTTTGAATGTGTTGTTAGTTCAACATGCAGCGAAATAAAAGTAAATTGCAATAGAAAGTACCAGACAGAAGACATAAAAAAATAGAGAGTGCCCAGGGCAAGATTGTTAGTTCAGGTTAGTTAAAAGTATGTGAGTATATTATGGGTAACAGCTGGCTGATGAGGTGGATGCACAAAAAAGAACGCAACTGAAAATTGAATAATTAAACACTATTAGAAAGATATGATGCTACCTTCTTTCTCAATATCATATTCAGCGGAGCCTTGACGGAAGTGGTTGCGTGTTAGCAATAACATGCGACCAACGAGGTCTGTGGTGGAAACGCCAGCGGTGCGCATGACTTCCCTGTGAACAGAAGAGAAAGATTAGTTATTAAACAAAACACCTGTGATAAATAAAAATGTAGGCCACTCACCTGTAGCGGTTTGCCGACTTGACCAGATGATAGGTGTCGACACCCTCAGCAGTCATTGTGATGTCATCTATAACGAACGTAACATTAATTACAAATTGAAGATACGCTATTGATAAGCAACTTACTGCCATGCACACAAAAATCACAGTCATTTTGATCGAGAACTTCTAGAGTTGTCACGTAGGGCGCACCAAGAACCACCTCGTCGACCCATTTAATGCCCTTCACCATTTTGACACGCTCCTCCTCGGTAAACACGGGCGGTCCCTTGTGTTTGGTGATCTCCTCATCGGTGTGTATGCCGACAATTACTTTATCGCCAAGTGCCTTGGCTTGTCGCAGTGAATTGGCATGCCCAAAGTGGACCATATCATAGCTGTTAATAATAAAAAGAATGCACTCAAATTAATATTAGTTAACCATGTAGTAGCTGTAGCTGTAGCTGTAGATGTGGTTCTAGTATCTTGTTTCCGCTCCAAATAGAACAATGTATATTCCCTTATCAATTTAAGCGGAATAGAAACCTCACATGCGGGAAACTGCAATTGTTAAAATAATTAAGTGCCAAATCTGGAGACGACGACAAAAGTAAAAGTCTATTCATTGATCTTTCAATTAGTTAGCCTTATAGCTAGTAGCTATGGGAATACTCTCGCCAATATTGCTTTGAGTTGATTGAGCTCAAGTTTCTAATGAACTGAAACGACCTTGTTGTAATCGTATATGATGCGATCCCTGACGTCTGATTCATTTGTAACATTAGCTAAATGAAGCAGATAACCCTGACGCCGATTATAGCAACTGAATTAACACGTGGATGCCAAAGTTTTCCATTCATAGCCGGGTTCATATACCTTCCCATCGACAATTAATGAAAAAGTTGCTGACAAAACGGAGAAAATCACGCCCGTGTGACTTTTGACATAAATAGAAAAAATGACAAGGCAAACAAAAAAGCCAAATCAGAATTTTCCGCTGCTGGGCAATAAGCCAACCAACTTATTCAATTAACTATTGAGACATTAATCACAGACATTTAAATAAGCAATGAATGTGCTTAGAGCCAATGAATATGTAAGCACACTTGAATAAAGCAAATACAGCCAGAGGCATAACTCGCTCAAAGTGCGAATAAGTCAATGTCTGGCCCCAAAGACGGACGCCACTTGCTGCAAGTGCTCCACTTTTCTTTCTTTGTTGAACGCCCCGCCGCACTTTGGACACGATCATCCGTTGTGAATCGCCACAAGAGCGAGAGATATTTTTATGAGGCATGATTTGTCATACATAAACGCACACATATATAATATATATAGTATATGGAATGCAGGAATGCAATCGCAATTCTAGTCAACACGTGACAAGCTCTTGCCAATTGTTTTGTACGTGCCAAGCCGCTTTAATTACACATTTTCCAATTTTGCCCAATTGTGGGAGCTTACGAAATGTATTTTCGTAACTATTGTTGGTATTTTATTGTTACCCAAATGGCTAAGGAACCCCCAATAGTGTTATAATAATAGTATATTATTGTGGGCGGATGTAAGTTGCCTGATAAACATTCTCAATGCTTGACAAAACCAAAACAGCAAATTCCATTTGTTGTTTCTTATTTTAGAATATATGCTGAAGCTATTGTAGATAACTTAACATGATATCAAAGCGCCGGGCCAGCTAATTGCAAATAAATAATTGTTTATACAACAAAATCAACTTAAGCCAAAAAGTATAATATATATATATACACTGATAAGTCACTCACTCACGACAAAGACGAGCAATCAATCGAATTCCAGGTAATTGCCAGGTAAAGCAATCATGATAGCAAGCCACAACGTCACCTTTATCGAATCGCCAGACTGATTGGGCCACGAGTCATATTACTAACTAGCGTACTGTCATTATATAACGCAAGGTAACACAAATTAAATACAGAGAGCTAAAGCATAATCAAGGCAATCCTAGACAATCCAGTAATCTGGGTTTTCGGTCTGAGCTACGTCATTCAATCAACATAAGAAGCAATTGAACTGATAATGTTTGGGAGACGGACCTAACAACAAACTGTATTTGGGTAGGCAGAGCAGAGTGTGGTCCAATCATCATTCATTAAAATGACAATGAGAACCAACCCGAAAAACCTTTGCTCCCGGAGACACCAAAGAAATCTGTGTCGAATGGAAATATATATATATAGCCACGTATATAATACACATGTGTGTAAGATCAACTATACCACAGGGTACGTACTGGGGCTTTAATCAATTGAATTACGCTGACTGCTGCTGATTAAGAAAATATCACGCGATCCAGAGTAGAATTTGCGCTCCCGCGATAACCGAATCACAGAAATAGCGACACAGCCACACAGCTTACATATACAGACGTATATATAAATAAATATATGAACGCTAAGGCAGCACGGCGCAACAGCACAACGACTGCCCCAAGGGGTTTACATTTGTTTTGAACGCCCCAAGTTCATTGACATGACATCAATAAAAACAAATTTTTGAGCAATCCAGAATGCATCCTAACGCTTGCGTCAATGATCTTTCCCATCGATTGGAAACTGCTTCATTTCTAAAGATTACAGGGTCATGTTTAACAAGACTTACGAATAAATGTATATATATGTTTTACTTATTTATAGCCCGCGGTTGGGGCACAGCTGGTGCTGAATGGAATTCGCATGATTTGCTACGGTAGCTTCTTCTTATCTCCGATCAGCGCATAGCCATCCCCACAAGAAATGCCCATTGACCCTTGATCATGGCGCTGCTGCTGCTTCTGCTCTTGTGGCACTAATCAATAAATGTACCCGGAAAGCGATTTTTATTTGAGTATGCTTTTTTATGCTGTTTGAAACGTGCTCACAAAACTGGCCTATTTAATTCGTATTAAAAAGCTGATAAAAATGTATAGTAGAAATTCATTTTTCAGTGAGTCAGCCATTATAGTTAGAATATTGGGTACATATAATCTTTTGCTGTATGTACTATCAGGAAAATACCTTTCTATCGCTAGCTCGAACACCTCATATTGCATGAATAGGAAAGTATCTGTATAGATAGATGTTTGATAAAGTTGTATTGTATTTATAGCCGGCTCTGCTTATCATGTCGTTCATACAGGTGTGATATTTCATATCATAAGTTCGATAACAAATTACACACTTATTCTGTAGAGCAAACTGCACTGAATTCTGTTCAGGAACACACTTTAAAATATACTCTTAAAAAATATATTCTCTTAAAAAAAAATGTAAAAATAAAATTTAGCCAGTGAATCAATTTTCTCTGCATTTAAAAAATAATATTTAAATTAGTCGCTTCGTCTGTGTAATTTGTTAGTCTTTGCTCTAAACTTGCTTTTCCAAAATAAATATATATATAAATGCTTATATATCCAGTTAAGGTTTGTATGTTTGTCAGTCTGTCTGGCTTTTTGCGAAAGCCTCTCTGAAGATTTGCAAGGCCCTGCTTCAACTGCTGACCTTGACTACAATGCAAAATGTCAAATCAATTACGCAAAGCAAACACATAAAATATGCAAGTTGCACTGCTGCACTAGAAGATATCCTATAATTTGGACGATCTGCCATATAACAGATTTATTAATGCAATAAACAATTTATTCATCCGTGAGCTGCGCAAAATAGTGAATATCTTCAAATTATGTATTCTGAACCAATTGAAAATGGGAAATCAGGGCAAATTGGTAGTATTAAAATGTATATAAGCGGCAGAACAAGGCCTAGATCACATATAGATGAAGACGCGCAGATCTAATCGATAATTACACCCGTTTTAGTTCATCAGTTATTTAATTATATTTTATAAAATTTTATATTTTTGTTCCTATATTTTGTGTCGCTATGCATAGATACATACAAACTAGGGAGTATATTTAAAAACAGATGGTTGGGGTTCAGGGTTGTAATATATATAGTATATTAAGCTCATGAATTTAGAGAGCTATTTAAAAACAAGTAAGAAAACTCTAGTTGGTGGAGTCCGACTAGCAATTACCTTGAACCCAAACCATCTGTTTTTAAATATACTTCACAGCTTGTATCTATATATAGCACACAACACCTATACACAAATTACAAACATACAGAAGATGTTCCCCGTACCATTCCAACTTAAAACTTCATAATAAAGTAGTAGCAAGTATATAAAATAAAAACCGACCTCGCCAGAATTTGAACTATCTTTTGGGCGACGCGAATCAAATTGCTTCTATTTGAAGTAAAATTTGAATCTGGTATACAAAATATAACAAGTTCACGAACATTAAATCAAAACACATTAAAACGGGAGCTAGCTGTTATAGGTTTATACAAACAGGGCTGATTCGTGTCAGCTCGTCGCGCTTCCTTCCGACCGTTAGTCGTTGAAAAAAGGTTATACCCTGATTTTCCGATTTTAGGGTGTACATGTTAAAAATAGTATACAGTGTGAAATATAGAGTAAAAAATAAATAAATATATATACCCAACGAGACAGTTAGATTGTCTATTCAAATAAATGTATATCTATACAACGTATACATAATATTTATTTATCATTCTGCATTTATTTACAGATTACGAACACCATTTTTATATATTTCACACAAGTGTATGTTACACTGGCTCATAAATATGTATGGACACATATGTATGTATGTATTGAAAATTAAAAAAGCGCCGACTATGACGTCGTCGCTGTACGAGTTGGGTCAATGGCGCGCGTCCGGTAAACCAAAAGTAGGCCGCCCAAGCTGGCGAGCGTAGAGCATGCGCGTAAAAAATATCACGTGATGTTTGGGCAGACGCCGACCGGCCCACAGTCAACGTCAGGCCACGTAAACCATGTCCAGTCCCAAAAACGTGCAATAAGTAAACACAGAACAATAAGATAATGATGCGAGTGCGAAGAACTGACGCTATGCTGTTGTCAAAGCTGTACGCAGCATTGTGTACATACAGAGAATCACGCGATGCTTCTTGCTTGGGCGTGTGCATCTATTCTGAAGAAAGAGAGAGGACGTGAAAGAGTCAGAAAAGAACAATTGCGGAAGTCTCTTTTGATTGTCATTTGCATATACACACATGTTCATGAACATCTGTATGTGGGTAATAAGTCCTTGTATGCTGCATATCACAAAGAATTGTTATTTGTCTGGCCCGATCAGGCGCATAAACCGGTCAAACGGGCTGCGTAGAAAATATAATAATCATAATCTAACGCAACGAATGCTATAGAATTAGATAAATTATTGCCAATTACTATGACCATTTCCAACACTACATTGCGATTGTATAAATATATTGAATAACTTGATAGGTAACACGGGTTTCGCTTTTTGCTCTGACCTTGAACCTAAATTAATTCAAATGAATGGCTAATCTTTCTTTGGACGGTCTATATTTACAAACTATCGTATCGATAAGACTGACGCAATTGAAATGTTCATGCCGTTATAACAGATAATATGAATAATTGTAAGGTATTATAAATACACCTAATACGTATATACAATTTAAATGTATGTGAGTCTACTTGTATGTAATTTATGTATGTATGAACATCAACAAACTGACTCACCAGCCATCGCACCATACGCGTATTTCCTTTTTGGTACCGTTGCATTTTTTATCGCTGGCATCGTCGTTGCCATTGACGTTGTAAGTACCGTTTACTAATTTGTCACACATTTTGAATTATTTATTTATAGAATTTTCCTTTTCGACTAGATGGTCCTAAACAAGAATCACGAATAATACATATATATATATCTATATATGCAGATTTTTAATATACACTGAAAATACCGAACTAAAAGCACATTGATTACTATACACAGAAACGGAGGCGACGTGCACTGTTCGAGCGCCTAATGTTGTTTGTGCCGAGTTGTGAGTACGTTTAATATTTTTATTTCGACAGTCTCGAAGCAGCTACTTAGTTTTTGTTTTGCTTATCAGCGCGCGAACGCCTCGGATTTTCTCAAGTGTGTGTAATTTTTGTGTTCTAGTCGCTCTACAAATGTATTGCTTAATTGACGTTCCCTTAAACAAAACTAACAGCTGACTGTCAGGGTGGCCGTATCACTGAAGTGTAGAAAATACCAAAAACAAAACCCAATCGCAATTAAGCTTTACATGACAAGGAAGTTTTCAGCTTAAGATTAAGTCCCAAAACACCTATTATTAAATAAATATATTTGAATTATTGATGAAAAAAAAAAAAACATTTATTTTATTAGTAAAATTAAATCACTGAATAAAATGTCTAAGTCAGGTCAGAAACAAAATAAATTGTAGTAATTTTGTGTGAATACAAAACCTCGATAAAGGGTAGCGCATAAACGATACTCAATGCTTCTTCTTCACATACCGACAAGTGCCGCGATTTGTTGCTCCCAAAGAAATTTGTTTTTCGTGCGTTCTTAAAATAGGGAAATAAAATGGACTCCAGAAAAAATGAAATACAATAAAATGTGTGCGTATGCATTAGAATTAATAAACAAACAAACCTACGGGCATCATGTCAGATTCAGTTTCGGCATTGTATAGAGGACAGAACCGAGAGATTAATTTATTTTATTTAAACTTCACGTGCTAAATTCCGAAAACTTTAATTTAAAAATCTGTCTCAAAGGCTTTCTTTGCTTAAAACGCTGCATCGTGAGCTAGTGGCGAAGTGTTGGTTGCTTCCCTTAATTCGCGGTGCTCAGTAATTTCATAACATCAAAAATGTCTAAGCGGGGAACAGTACATGTTGGAGCTTCTCGGAAAGAGTACGCTGCAGCCGAGGAGCGACTGCTTAACATCTTTTCACCACCGCCCGCCGGCACAGAAGAAATGATAACAGTTTCTGATTTTGGTCAGGCGTCAGCGGCATCACCACAGTTGCAAGAGCCTAATGAGAATGTGCACGATGTGGATCCCTCAAGGGACAACATGCTGCAGTTTATATCAGATGATTCGGAAATACGCAGCCTGTTAGCAAACTCCGATAGCAACGGTTTCAAGGGCTTCGATGATACATTTCGCGACTACGGCGATACATCTGAGACACTGGACGCTGGCAACACTCCACTTATATTTGGCATGTTCCGAAACATGAACAAGTTCATTGAGTGTCAAAGGTCAAATCGTGGTTATCTCAATGCACAACTTTCAAGTAGGTTGAGCCTCAGACTCGTTTCATCCACAACTCAGTAATTTCTTAATTCTTTTTAGCTGCGCCAATGGCAGTGATGGAGGCAACCACATCTGCCAACTATTTACTTACGAATGGTAATATCAATGTTGACGAGTCTGAACAAGCGATCCAGGAACAGGTCGCGATCGATTGTCAAAATGTTATTGATCAGTCGCACTCCGACTGCGTCATTTATGATGATGATAATGTTGTATTGCTGACGGATGACCAATGTTGCGAGATTATAGTGGCTGCTCACGGTGTTCATACTGATCATGAAATAGAACGTGCTTACTTATTGGGTCTGCAACAACAATCAACCAATGAGCAAGAGCGGCTCAATAATGGTGTCAGCTATTGTGCCAACCTGTGTACAGCTGAGGAGTACGAAGATCCCAGTGCGGACACTAATGTTTATCTCAGTGATGCGGCCTTGGATCCGCAGCACCAACATAACCAACATCATCAGCAGCAACAGCAACAACTATTGCTCGATGCAAACGAAGAAGATCCAAATCAGATTAGTGACCCATATGTGGACGAACGCCCGGATATTTGTGAGGTATACGACCACGAGCTGGAGGACCATGATGACGATTGTATAGTAAATGAGGAGGAGAGTAACTTAGAGTTGCTTCAACAAGTTGCCATGGAGCAGCAGCAGCAGCTCAACATTTCCAGCAGTATTGAGGAGCCGCATGCCATTGATGTTAAGGATCAACAAGCTACTGTAGCTACAGGTACCGCTACGGCCGCCATACCCCACAGTAGCACTACAGAGTTTCCAGTTAGTTCCACGTCCATGCCGAATGATAGTGACTATGATGACTGTCACGATGACGTGGGGACAGCGGAGGAACAATCTTTACCCAGGCAGCGTAAATATATGCCTCTGTTAAAGAACACGCTCTCCGCGGAGGCGATGGATCGTCGGATGGCCAACATATGTCAGTCGCAGCCGCAGATGAGCCTGAACGAAAAGTTGGCCAACTGGAACTGTGCGAACAGCTGCGACGCTGTCGAGGACGTAGAAAACTTTGAGACTGTGTTTGAACAGCATGAGGCTGAGCCAGGCACGCAAAAATTTAGCGAGTTCTATGAATATATGCGAAAAAATTTTTCCAAAATGACACAGAGCATGCAAGAAGGACCCCTGGAGGATGCGGTCGACGAAACTGCAGCACCTGAGGCACTTAAGCAAAAGAGACCATGCTATAGACGCCTACTGCCTTCAATGCCGGTGCAGCAGACCGAACTGATTGTGCTCGATGATGATGATGACGATGATGATTGTTTTGAAGTAATGGTTAATCCATCATCAGCAACATTGGTGCCCAGATTAAATTGCGACCCAGAGCAACCAGAAGCTATGCCGAAGAAAACACAGACGCAGCCCATTTTGTCAGTGTGTGTTGAATCAAAAGAAACATCTACTACAGATTTGGTTACTTCCACGGCGGCCTCTGAGCAACAAGAGTACAAAGAATGTCGTGACTACACTCCGGTTGCAGAGCAAAACCATCAAGGAGAACCCACTCAGCATCAGCTGGATGTACCAGTAAAGGATACCAAGGAAGAAGTAGACCAAAACCATATGCTGATACAGCAGCAACAAGAATCACAATGTCGCCCATCAGGTAAGTTTCTTAAATAATCTCTTGCGAACGATTATTAAATGAATATATGTTTACTATTTATCGCTTGATGATTTTCCATCTTACTCTTGAAGTGGCTCTCTTTCTTTCTCTAACCTGTAATTTATTTGTCTATATCTAAAAGGGCGCGCAAAAAGCGTTGAATTCCATAATGATGCGCAGTTCTATAAGCAGCATGAGTTTTGCAATTATCTTGGACTCACGGAGCTTGCAACGGCAAATGCGGTGGCTACCGCCATGCGGGAACTGGCCAACAGCAATGTGGCGCGCCGTTCGCTTCGCGTACGTACGCAACAGCAACTGGACCGAATGCGCAGCGATGTTCGTGGCAGGCGAAGAGAACGGCAGCAGCAGCAGCGAGTACAGCAGCAGAATCAACAGCACGGCCACCTAGAGGAGGAGCAGCAACAGCAGCAACGGCAGCTGCATGAAAAGAATAACCAGTTAATCAGCGATGACAGTAGCACCATCACCAATAATACTATTGCTATTAGTACCAAGAGGACAGGTCTAGATGGTATCACGATACCGCCGGCAACCGACAACACCTCATTCATATACCCAAGACAGCCTGCAACTGGTGGCCCACCTATTGAATACTATTGCCATGCTAAACCTGATAACCCGGGGCAAAATCAGGGCAATCGCATGATGGTTCCCACCGACTATCATGCAATCTCCTTAGAGGCGGCATTTGCAAAGGTGTATGCCTCGGCAGCGCCAGCCCAAAACGAGCTGCACGAGTGTATGCAAAACCGTCTGCGACAGGCACGTGAAACCAAACCTTCCATTTACATTGTGAAGTCCATGAATAATGCCACCACGCCGGTACCGGACACAAGTTTGACGCCAGAATTGCCGGAGCACCTGAAGTACAAAAGGAAACCAGAACTACCGTTAGAAGTCAGACCGTTACGCAAGGTGGGCAAAAAGATGTTGTCCAAGGCATCGAAACGCCGTCGAACCACTGGCGGTGCTATAATCGCGAATACTCCAAATGAACGAGATTTAGTTACGCGGTCGACCACACATTTGAACTCGAAATTGCTGCGCAATCGCAAAGTTAGCTTGTTGAAGACCTACGAACTGACAGATGTGGCAACTAGCGGGCGTGGCAAGCGGCTAGCCGGTGGCTCGACTCCAGCCAAAATGCCCAAAGTTCTAAAAAGAAAAGTTAAGAAGACAACAGCGCTGCCGGAACAAATGGTGATCAGCCTTGCGGCCTCGATAAATAATCATCCAGATAAGTTACCGCCCCCTCCGCCTCCACCTAAGGTGAAGTTGTCGACAGTCGAACCAAATGCAGTTAAGCGAAAGCGTTTACGTGCCAAATCTCTGCCATCGGCGTTAGGTAAAGAAGAACACGTGTCTAAATGTTCTAGGAATACTGACGAGGGCGTAAAGATGCCTGACATAAGTGTAAAACAGCAGCGACAACGGAAGTCTCCGAAAGCTGCTATGGATATCGAAGACTTTATCACGAATAGCTCTGTCATTAGTCCACCGCTGTACAGTGCAGCAGTCCGTCATTATGTTAATGTTATTCGTCAACCAAAGGATTTGCCTGTTGCACAGCAGCCGAACCTAGAACAACAGTCGAAGTTGCAAATGCCGCCGCCATCTGCAAGCTTCTTCGAAGGCACATCATCTTTTGAGAAACAATGCAAGCCTTCGTTAACGTATCCGCCATTGGCACCGCCACCTCCGCAGCGAACTCCACATTTTTCCAGACGAAATCGTCAAACAGCAGGAACAACACAAAACGCTCCTACATCCCAAATGCCAAATGCGCACATAACGCCACCAGTTGGTTGCCTTTTGTCCCTCAAAAAAGGATCAACCGAGCTAAGCAACCCGCTGGCGGGAAAGAATGGCAAGGTGCTTTATATATACTATGAGCTAGACCAGCTCATTGTGGTGCAGGAGAAGTTGATTTCATTTTGGAAGTATTCGAAAGTCTTTAATGTACTGCAGAAGCCAACAAAGGACGAGCTTCACAGAACGGCGATCTCACAAAACAATGTTTTTAGCTCAAACATAAAAGATAATACACGCAAGTCATCTGCGGATTCAGAAAAATCCTCGGAATGCTTAAACCAGAAATGGGTATATTTAGGTGGAATGCGTCATGTTACAAACGGTGAGTAACGCCTACAGCTCCGCTTTATATTTATTAATTTATTATCAAATATTTTCTCTCACTATCAAGATATTGAAATTTCGTCTCCGTATGACAATCGCTTGTGTACGCACAACTCGACGCCCGTTTACATTGAGATGCGCAGCCATCCGCTGGATCATCATAAGCGTGAGAGTAAGCTTCTATCGTTATATGTGAATGTCTACTATTACTGTGAGGAGGAGATGCGGCCCAAGTTGCACTCGGTGCATCTTGATGCAGTCAATTGGTGAGCTCTGAATACAAACAATCCCCCTATAAACGTATAAATAATGTTTTTGTTTACGATTTAGTGACTGGAATCAAGTCGTCTATACGAGCATAACGGAGTCACGATACTTTGTTATGGCTTGGCAGCAGGATTTGATGGTGGGCAAGCCGCGGGCTGGCATTTGCAAGTACTCGCTGACACCTACACTTGACACGCTTGCCAGCATACGGGAGTTTAAGCAACTGCGGCATGAGCTGAAACATATTGAGTGTCTGATGGAGGACCGTTTGATTGGCTATGGACAGACGCGAATAACTATTTGGGATCATCGAAGTGGTGACACGTTAATGAATTATGATCTGGGCTTCGATTTGGGACAGAATATGGGCGTTATGCATTTTCCAAGCTTTGAAATGGATCAAAGCAGCCTACTTGTGTTGTATCAACATGTCAAGGAATCGAATAAATGGCCGGAATTACGTATCATTGCCTGCGAGCTGTCGCATGCCGCACCAACGCATCGTATATTGCACGTTCATCGTCTCCCTTCGCCACAATTTGATTCACAGTTGGTTGCCATCAATACAGGCGATCATGTAATACTTAAGTCACCAACGGACGATGAAATCTGGATAACTACGTCGGATCCGCAACAGCTAATATATTTAGCACCGCAGGGCAACCAGCGTTTCTACACGCGTCAAAAGTCGCAGATTATAATCATGACGCCGAGTACGCTAATCGTGGATAGCATTTCAAATCATGTATTGAAGTTGGCCACTGCGCATCTGCCGAACCTGGTTATAGACCATAAAAATACGGTTAAATCAGCTGTTGTCTCTTCCCAGCTGCCGGTGTAGAGACAACATAAATAGGGTTGAACAACACAACATAAGACAAACATCTGAAAACACGCTAAATTCCCCGTCATTTTAAATCAGAGTGGGATCGACAAGTGAAAATAGTTTTTGGTTATTTTAAAAATTCTTTAATGCTTACCAAAATTTGTTTGTGGCATTCTACCATCTATTAAATATAATTAAATGTATAATACCACAGATGCTTTTGAAGTAGTATAGTTATCTGTTTAAGTTAAGCCATGCATATATATATACACACATACAACTATACAAAGATGTATGTAAGATGTTTATCGCCCAACAAGGGGGATCCAATATCAATCGTTGCATAGGAAGTATGAAGACCAGTTGATTTATTTTTTAATTTAGTTTAAGCTTTTAGGTCAAGCTTTACGTAACGTTTTTATTTTTATTTTCTTAAAGAAAACATTGCTTTAGGCAAATATATAAAGTATACATTGAAAGCAGGTCGTGTTAAATTTAGTTACAAATTTAAAACCGAATAAAAAGAGAATATTTATAAATATATATAAATTTAAACATGACATCTTTAATTTTTACCCTTGGGCGCTCCCTTCTCCTAACGATCCAGCCTTTAATTAATTGGAACACAATTGAATAATTTTAAATGATGTATTTCAAACTTTTTGGCATATGAACTAATAAATTTCAGCTACACATTTTTTTTTAATCTTTACAAATACAACATTACGATCTAATTATTAGAATTATATTTATTTCTTACTACCAGCTAATATATTTACAGATGATATACTTACAAGAAAGTAAAATTCATATAAAAATGGTGAATGTTCATGGTCTATAAGTACGATTCTATACAAATTAAAAATATATGCATACATCCATATATCATACATATCAGATAGAACAGCCCGGCAGTTGCCTAACTAGGAAGCTGAGTTATGCCAACGCTTTTTAAAGAAACATATATCGGTAAGATGTTCAATCAAATGCTAAAAAACCGTGCTAACAGTTGGGCGACAGATCGAGGTTGTGAGCTAATGAGCCCAATCGGATTAATATTGAGCTTTAAATTTAGTTCTTACTTATATGGTAAAGTACAAGAAATTTCGCAGGCTGCTGCTGCGAACGAAAGTTAATATTTATAAACTTATATATATATATGTTTGTATAATTAGTGAAATGTTTAGCGAAAAGCACTTTAAAACTTAAGAAGGCGCCACATCGAAATGTTACAGTGAGGGGCCATACGCACTTTTGAGCAATCACTACAACTCCTTATCTGGCTTTTTCTTTGGCATCGTCCCCGCAGCCAATGCAGCAGCAGCTGCTGCTGCCGCTGTTTCATTCTGATGAGCCTCTTTGGCCAGTTGCCAACGCTTGAACTCCACCATTTGCATGATTCGGGCGCGCAACTGCGGACGTCGCAGCATCGCCGCCGACAGCTTTGTAAACTCCAGGCTATACATGAACACGACGGGTATGGCGACATCATCTTTACCATCGCCGGACATCGCAAACATGGGTTGCGTCTCGCCGGAAGAACCTGATACATTATCACAGACGATCAGCGCGGTGGCGCCCACTTTTTGTGCCAAACGCGCTTTGCTCACGAACGTGCAATCACCCCGTTCAGCGACAAGAATTTTGCCAGATATATCGCTGGCATTCTCCAACTTCTCGTCGCAGGCGCGCAATGGATTGGCCAACACAATTTCACCTTCGACAAACTGTTCGCCGATTAGCTCTGGACTGAAGTGTGATGGGCCGGCCATCAAAGCGGTCCAGTCCTGCGACTGCTCATCCACAGCATAAGCAACGGCCTGCAAAACAAAATATATACGGGATAAAAAATTATATATACATTTCTATATATAGTAGTAATATCGTACACAAAGCTTATTAAATAGGTAATCTAATTTTTGTTTCTTTTAGTCGTTCAAATTCTCACCACAATGAAATTCTTCGGACAATTCTTATCATTTGACTTACGCACCTGCAGCTGTGCCAGCTGGTTCATGCTCTGCATTTTGGTTAGCTCCAGCATTTCCTGCATAAACTGCAAGCCCATTTCGCCTTCTTCTTGACTCTTGGCCTATAAAAATAATGAATAAATAAGATAAAGTATGGAGGATATACTATATAGTATAGATATACAAAAAATTTGAAAGCCTCGAAGGAGCAAGTTCAAGAAGCAAAATAAAACTTACATTATAGAAACTATGAAACAGCCGCACCTTGCCTTGGCTGCGGTCGCCTACGGAAACCATGGTGATGCCCATGTCGTATACAGCTCGAAGATGATCCGCATTGCTTGCCTGAAAATCCAGGGCGCTGAGTCGCTTGCCACTGATGGTGCGCGGGCACGAGCCCGTAATGAAGTTGCGCAATGGTTTGCGTACTTTCTCAGGAAAAAGCTTATTGGAACTGGGGCAGGTGCGCATGAAGTCGAGTACATTGTGTTCGTCCGATTGCCGAAAGCCTGTAAACAATAATTAAAATTAATAAAGCTTTTGGTTTTACGTATTTCACTTACTAAACGTGGAATTCCCTAGCTGTGCTATAGACAGTGGCAACAGATGCGCCTCGGTGGTGAACACAAACTCATCTACATTGATGATCAGATCTTGTGGGTCAGAGAACAGCAAAAATAGATACTTAAAGGTTTCGGATAGCACAAATGAATCCATGCGATCCTCATGCTTGCCGGTGCGCACATCGTTAACGGCTGCGTAGCCACAGGAGACTTTCGCATACTTCTGCAGCGTCTTCAAAGCCCGCTTACCCACTTGAAGGTAATGATGATCACCAGTGGCACGATACAAGAAATACGTGGACTCAATGAACTCCGGTCGCAGATGATGCTGGCCCCAGTGTATTTGAAAATCTACTGTCCATGCTTCTGGTATGAGCGTGTGCATCTGCATTACTTGATACAGCATTTCGTGGGTTTGCACCGCCGGCTTTAGATCGCCGGAGAGCACCTGCAGTCCTGGCCAAAACGCCAGCAGGGAGTCCATGAAGTTCCGTGACTTCGCATGTGGCCGATGCATCAGTACATCCAGCAGCATAGGACCCTCGCTAACATACTTCATCACGGCGTTATAATGGCGATTAAACCGTGCCAGGTACTTGTCATCACCGAGTAGCACATAGGATTTGAACAAATATTCGTAGTAGCTATCGATACCAGCACCCACGCCCGAATCACGACGCACCCAATCGCCGGAATGCACATTTAGAACCGTTCCCATAAGATCAGAGCCGCGATGTCGCAGTTTCCACAACGCATCCATTGCAGCATGCGCTCGCACCTCAAAGATGGGATCACCCGTTAGTCGCGATAATGCGGCAAACTCCAGCAAAATGGTGCCCGCGCAGGCGGTACACGTTTCCCGTGACTTCTTCAGCTGAGGATCCTTCATGCCCAATCGCAGATTAACGCGTGCATGCGGTATTCCTGTCGTTGTATTAAATGCCGGCAATAGACGGTAGCCCAGCTCACGGGCCATCTCAAGCATTTCGCCTTTATACCAGTGCATCACGTCAGCCTGCTTTTGCAGATATTCAGCAAGTATATGAGCTGAGAGCAAGCCACCCACCATACGAATATTCGTCTCGAAGACTGAGACAATGATATCGCTATCAAATTGCACATCCCGTATAACCAGCTTAACGGCATGCTCAAACTCTGCAAAGTCACCAAGCAGCACCAACGTGTCCAGCGTATCCACCAACGTCATAGAGAAACTGCAAAGCAGATATTTATAAAAAAACTATCAGTTCTGTTAATCGGATATCATAGTTAACAAGCTAAGCAATTATTCTGATCTAAATCTAAGCACCATCTCAGCTGAATATCTATGAATTTAGATATTTGCGGAGAGGAAGCATGAAAAATTATGGTTTTTAAAAGTTTGGTTTAAAATTTATAAATACAACATGTCTGTGAAAAGTTTATTATGTTGTTTATACCCGATACTTGATCGAAATTAGATTGTCAAACAATGAATATGTGATTATTAAGTTAACACCTATCAAGTTTTTATCTAATCATTACAAATATCTACAACACGTATTTTTGCTGTACTCACTTGCCCAATATGTCATCCATGTCGCCTCGTGAAGCCGTCACGCCGCGATAGCGTCCCTTGCAAGAAAGTGGCATCAGCTCGTCGGCAGGATATGCGTTCTCCATGTAGGCACGATATGCATGATAGAACATTTCGCGTGACTCCTCACTACAAAAGTAATAAGACATGTAATAAAATTTTTATAATATGTGTGTTTATTTAATTACCGCAGTTCCGCGCGCTCCTTGTGCGACATGTTTTGAGTGGGCATCGTGCTCGCATCATCGCTAATTACGGTAACAATTAGCAGAAGCAGGGAGAGCAGAGATGGCAGCAGCAAACGCTGTGCCACGATCGACGATGTAGTCGAGCTCATCCTATCGTTTGGCTGGAACTGGAGTCGGAACTGGAGTTGGGAGCTAAAGCTTGTACTTGAGTGCTAGCTCCAATTCCAAGCAGCTGGTGCTGTTCGTTTATCGTTTTTGGCAGCCACAGTTGCCGTTACTTATCACCTTGTTGCTATTGTTTTTGTTGTTTATTGTGACGTTGACCTTCACTTTGAACGTGTTATGCGTTGTTTTACTTGTATATCTGAATTTATCGCGTTGTCTGCTTTAGTTGAGTTTCACTGCTTTTAATTTTAAATCAGCGCCTCATTTAAATATATGGATGGTAGACTGTCAAAAGAAAAAATTAGTATATAATATATTAATACATGCACACACATACATGTGTGTGAATGGGTCTTTACATTTATAACCATTAACCTTACCTGACAAAAATATTTTAAAATTTTTGTTGCATTTTTTCTTGCATTTGTGCGTTTGTGACGTGCTCAGTTGCGTTGTTTGCATTTTTTTCATTCAAAGAAGTAACATTTCAAGATAGTTTATTTTTAATCTTGTTTGCTGCTGCTGCTCCAATAACAAAACACCACGACTGCAAATCGCCGAAACCCGAGCAGCGACCGCTCGTCGCAAGATAAATTTATATGCTGCAGATGTTCAGTATGCACATATTGTATTTAGATGAGATGCCACATATGAGTAATTGTTGCTGGTATATAATAAAACTTCGTTGGCAGTTTCTAAACTTGTTAAATAGTTAATTCTTATCAATTCTAAGCAGTAAGTTACAGTGCAAAAAGACTAGTGTTGTAAAAAATTTATATATATTTTACAATATATTTTTATTCTATGGTCACCCAAACCAAATTGTGGTGGGATGACACCGTCAATTTATGAAATACTTGTAAATTTAAAATATATTTAAATGCTTTAAACAGCTTGATAATTCGAAAAAAGAAGAACAATGGAAGAATTCATGGCCTAGTAATACCGAAAGTTTTCATCTAGGTATAATACTTCAACAAACAAAGTGTCATTCTAATGTTACCTTCGAAGTGTGCCCAGCTCAAATTAACAGTGTTGTTAAATGGTTAAATAGCAGCTGACTTTCCGCGCCTTAAAATTAAATATATATAAAATGGTAAGCTCCTCTTAAATCTGAATATTTTAAACTAAGTGAAAAATGTATTATTTTCTGAAAAGAGGCGGAGTTTAGCACCTAGTCAAAGACTGGGAGTTCGCATCAAATCAAAAGATGCCTTTACCCCTCCACTACAAAAGAAAATAAAACGTGCGTGTCAGGAGGAGCTGCAGAAACGCCAAACTGCATTACGAGAGTCTACGAATCTTGTCGAGCTTCCGCTCCCGATTCGCTTCACGGCGAATAGCGAGTATGAGCAGGCCATAGCCAAAGTGTTGGCGCGCAAGTTCAAAGTCCCTATTGCCAACTATGTACCAGATTATGGAGGAAATCGTACACTGGGTGTACGACGTACCATAGTGCGGCGTTCCTTGCACGATCCACAAGCGTGTAATGCTTTAGTCTTACATATACCGCCTGCCTACACGGAGCATGAGCGTATGTCAATGGATCCGAGCAAGTTGCAGGTACATGTGGTAGTTGATCCAATCCTTAGCAACGTTCTGCGTCCACATCAGCGTGAAGGTGTGCGTTTTATGTATGAATGCGTGGAAGGTAAACGAGGTAATTTCAACGGCTGTATTATGGCTGATGAAATGGGTCTGGGCAAGACCTTGCAGTGCGTCACATTAACGTGGACGCTGCTGCGACAAAGCGCCGATTGCAAGCCAACGATATCCAAAGCAATTGTTGTGTCTCCCTCATCGTTGGTGAAAAACTGGGAGAAGGAGTTTACTAAATGGTTGCACGGCCGCATGCACTGCTTGGCCATGGAGGGTGGCTCCAAAGAAGAAACGACCCGCACTCTCGAACAGTTTGCCATGAATACAGCCACACGCTGTGGAACACCGGTGCTGCTGATCAGTTACGAAACATTCCGCCTCTATGCACACATACTCTGCAAAACGGAGGTGGGCATGGTCATATGCGACGAAGGGCATCGGCTTAAAAATAGTGACAATCTCACATATCAGGCTCTGATGGGCCTGAAGACCAAACGACGCGTTTTACTCTCCGGCACGCCGATCCAAAACGATCTGACCGAGTATTTCAGCTTGGTTAACTTCGTCAATCCAGAAATGTTGGGCACAGCTGCCGATTTCAAACGTAACTTTGAAAACGCAATTCTACGTGGTCAGAATGCCGATTCTACGGACGCAGAACGTGAGCGTGCATTGCAGAAGACTCAGGAATTAATTGGTTTGGTCAATCAATGCATAATACGACGTACCAATCAAATCCTGACCAAATATCTGCCGGTCAAATTTGAAATGGTCGTGTGTGTCAAACTAACACCAGTCCAATTGCAAATCTACACAAATTTTTTAAAATCGGATCAGGTGCGTCGCAGTCTAGCAGGTAAGTAAATAGTCAATAAAAATGCCAAATTTTCGTTAAAGCATTTATTTTATTTAGACTGCAATGAGAAGGCATCGCTGACGGCACTGGCCGACATAACAACATTAAAAAAGCTGTGCAATCATCCCGATCTGATCTACGAAAAAATAGCTGCAAGGGAAAAGGGTTTTGAGAACTCACAGAATGTTTTACCGGCCAACTACAAACCAAAGTTAATTTATCAAGTCATATATTTTTACATTATACTTATATCTGTATTCATTATATAGAGATGTGAACCCGGAGTTGAGCGGCAAGTTTATGCTACTGGATTTTATGCTGGCTGCCATACGCGCCAATAGCGATGACAAGGTGGTCCTGATCTCGAACTATACGCAGACGCTGGATCTGTTCGAGCAGCTGGCGCGTAAACGCAAATACAGTTATGTTCGGTTGGATGGCACCATGACGATTAAGAAACGCTCCAAAGTTGTGGACAGATTCAACGATCCCAGTACCGATTGCTTTCTCTTTATGCTAAGCAGTAAAGCCGGTGGCTGCGGTCTGAATTTGATAGGCGCGAATCGGTTATTCATGTTTGACCCCGACTGGAATCCGGCAAACGATGAGCAAGCGATGGCTCGAGTCTGGCGCGATGGACAGAAGAAGCCCTGCTACATCTATCGCTTGGTGGCAGTAAGTGTGCTGAAGCTGTTGTGCTCCAATTTCATTTTATATATATTATCTCTTATTTAAGAGCGGTTCAATTGAGGAGAAAATCCTACAGAGGCAGACGCACAAGAAATCGCTGTCCAGCACAATCATAGACAACAACGAGTCGGCTGAAAAGCATTTCACACGCGATGATCTTAAGGATTTGTTTAGCTTCGAGGCCAACGTGCTATCCGATACGCACATTAAGTAGGTGCCTGTGTTTTTATCAAATATATCCAATATCATATGTATTTCTTGCACCTTTCAGACTTAAATGCAAGCGTTGTTTCCAGGATGTCCAAAGACAGCCACCAGCAGAGAATACAGACTGCACCTCACATCTGTCGCAGTGGTTCCACTGCTCAAATAATCGCGGTTTGCCAGATAGTATATTGTCCCAGGCGTGGACAGCAAGTAAATGTGTTTCATTTGTATTCCATCATCGATCACAGGGAGATTCAAAGCCAGCGGCCATCATTGCGGAGGACGATCAATCTGAACAACAGCAGCTAAGCCATAAGCGAACTGCCAAAAATGACGATGATGCAGAATTTGACCCTGAGGATAGCGCTGAGGAACAATTCTTGGGCTTTTAGTTGTTAAATTTACAAATAATTTATTGTTTTTGCATTTTCGGAACCTGATTTAGATTTTAAGCTAATCTACAAACTAATTTCTTTTGTTACTTATTAACAATTAACCTAATATACATAAGTAGTTTAACATTTAAAATATGGAACAAGCTGTTCCTAATGCTTGTCAACTTCATTAACAGATCTACAAGCACATAAAATGTCTTAGCCTAGTGCACAATTCAGATTTAAAAAACACTGCACACACATACATTTAACAAATATCATGAACTCACGTGATATTGTCTACATATATGTGTGTAGGCACCAGTAATATACCAATGCAGTGTTAACACAGTCAATAGAACACTTTTGTGTAAGTTTGTATGTGTATACATATAAAGTATGGGAGTTAAACGTCAATAATCTTATGTTCTAGTTCGACCCAGACGTTGCTCTTCTCGGGTGGCTTTTGCAGTGGAGAAGGCTGCTGCAGTAGGTCGACTAAAAAGCTTCCAACGCTTTGGTAATAACTGAAAATGAGTATGATTTATAGTTAGTTAGACTATGCAATTGAAAGTACTACTGATATAAACATAACGTTATTAAAAGGTTTTTTGTTTCTGTGTTTTAGACGTATATGTAAATAAAGTAATATATGTCTGTCTATGTTAAATGGTTTAATTTAAATTGGTTATATCTACAACAATTACTAATTCATTAAGATCATAAGATCTCTAAGAGTAATTTTACTTTATATTTCACATTATCAAATCAGCGATATTTGAAAGCACACTAGTAACTTGAATTTTGTCTTCGTGGAACAACATTCCATCCATACATTATATAGTGATACGAATTCAGACGGTCGTTTTACAGTTGACTGAATGACTTAAGAATTTGGGCTGCTTATCTGCTGTTAAATAATTCTTATAAATGGTTTGTAGCTTACCCATCGACTATCCAGGTGTCGTTGTGTGAACCCCCCGGAAATTCAAGCATACGTTTTTGTTCACTACCGCATTTGGTATACAAGGCACGCATCATGCGCGGTGGCACTAGGTTATCTGCAAGGCCTGATATAAATAGAAAAGGCACCGAGCACTTGCTTATCTTGTTAAGTGAATGATACTGCAAAAGAAGAACGGATGTGCAACAATAACAAACCCTTAAAAAGATGATCAAAATCATATTACCTTATTTTTATATAATAGATTTGGTATGTATTTCACAGATGGATGCACCAGTTCGACCGCCATATCACGTATACTGGTAAATGTATTTTCTACAATGGCGCACATTAGCTTTTGGCCATAGACAGTGTCGGCAGCTACATCGATTACAACGGCGCCACCCAGCGAACGACCGAAGAGTATAAGCTGTGAGTGATCCAAGTCATGGCGCGTGTGCAAATAATCAATTGCAGCACGTGCATCCGTTACAAGACCACGTTCGGAAGGTACGCCAGTCGATAGACCATAGCCACGATACTCCACCATTAGGATGTTACAGTGGAGATGATGATAAATACCCCATACCTTTAAATATGAACTAATTAACATAAGTAACAGGAACGCCATCGGATTAGGTTACGCTCTCATTACATTCTGCATGCGATGTCCCATATTGCCAGCATTTCCATGAAAATAGAGTAAGGTGGGCACCGATTTGCAACGTTCCTCGGGTTGACTTATCCAGAAGGCATGCAGCGTTACTCCGTCAGACGTCTTTATACTGACGGTTATATGTGGTAGGTTGTGCATAGTTGGGATGGGTATGTAAATGCGCGAGTTTGTTGGCAAATCCGGATGATACAAAAGCAAGTCTTGTGCATGGTAGAAAATAACTGCAAATAAATTAAGAGCTCTATAAGAACAATTACAGATATATTATCGTTTACATACGTAATAAAATGGCTGCAAAGAGCGTAAGCGTCATGTAACCCCCATAAAAATAATAGAAAATGAAAAATAGAAGAAAAGCTCCTACAATGCCTACGCCTATACCACGCGATTTGGGCAGCGCTATGCCCACTTCTTTCATTTTGAACACGTCCGTATGTATACACAAGTGCTACATGCTGCAATTATTTCATTTTATAATGCAGTATCATAGTAATTTAAAAAAATAGCTGGATCGAAAAGCGTCGACGTAGTTAGTGTTGTTGTCGCGGAACTGCCAACTTAATATTAAAGCCGTGCAGTATAAGAAATCAGCTGGATGTAGTCTGAAACAGGTGTGTAGTGACGATGAACTTATCGCAAGTTGCAACTCTGCTGAGCTCGATAGTTTTCACTTTCAATGCACTCCTGCTTAAAACAAAATGGCGTATTTTTTACTGCTATAGACCAAGACGACGTGAACATCTTTTGTGTAGTTGAAAACTGCATTTAAAAACAAGTGGCTCACTTTAAAAACAAAACAAACATTTATCAAAACCGTTAAATAGTGTATTGCATGTTTAATGAGCGCTATAAGGCAACTCTGTGTGCTACCACGAAAATATAATGAGCCAGGTAAGTAGGCCTTGAAAAAGCTGTGACAGTGAACGTCGTGTAAGAGAAAAAAATAACAAGAAAACTATGAAATTTTACTATCACTCGAAACAAGGCGATATCAATCAGTTGAATTCGAGTCGTCGTGTGAGTATTATTCTAAAAAACTGTCGTATAAAATTTCTACGCTACTTTTGTGGGTGTGGCATGTGCCAGTCACGAAGAGTGACCCAAGAGGTGTCCCCCCGATTGAGACTCCGTCACACGTACGGCGCTTGGTGCGCCAGTCAGTGGGGCTTTCAGTATAAAAGTGCTTAAATATTATATATTTAATAGTGTTTCACAGTTTTTACAACGTCAACCGGTGCCCGAGGATTCAACGTGGCAGCCAATGTTATTTTTCCTAAAATCCGTTGGGTACCCATTTTCGCAAATTTCGTTTGAATTTGGGCATTTCAGTTTGTTTTCGTTGAATGCCGTATCAAAAATGCATAATTTGCATTATTTTCGAACGATTCTAGTAGAAATTGAAAATTTTCATCGATTACGTAACCACATTTTGTCAGGTGCAAAGTTTTCCTCGTGCTCCAAACAATGAATTTCTGGCCAAAATTCATGGAACATCAGCCCGCCAAAATAAATCTTGCAAAGAACTGGCCTTGATTTAACACAATTTTTGTATTAAAATGTATTTTCTATAATTTCTGTCCATTTTTTGTGCATTTGAGCAATAATGTTGTGCATTTAGACCAAGAAAATCTCTTCAGTGTAAAAAATCCGCGTATTTTGGATGTTTTTACCGGCTTTTCGCTCCAGGATCGGCTATAAAGTGTTATCCATCCATTTCTTTGAAGTACGCCTGCGTACCCAGGCCAGACAACGGATTGAAGCCACGAAGTGCTGGTATTTATATCAAAAACTGTCCTCTAAATAATATAAACTGCATTTCTGGAGAGGATTAGCCGTAAAACTGCATTGCACATAAATTTTTTTCATTGCAAGGCATTTCTATTACATTGGTGACATCTTTGGCTGTGGTAACTACAAACATTTCTTCATTTTGAATGCATTCTAAAGTTTTTCGGTAATATAAGAATTTGATTAATTTCTGGCAAGGATTCAGTTCGTTTTCTTTTAGATTTTGCCTGATGTTACTTGCTATCTTGGATCATAGTCATTTACCAATAGTGTGGTAAGGGTATTAAATCACAAATCGCGTTTTTAAGAAAGACTACTTGCTCACTATAAAATTAGACAAGGTATGAGCTCCTAAAAAGCTGTAAAGGATCAGGCGCAGTCAGTAAGCCCATGCATACCATATGGTAAAGGGGTACTAAAGTATAAACCCTGGTTTAACACTAAGTTAAGGGAAGATCAAATTAAATTAAAAACACTTTGTTTTCTGGACACGTTATACTGATCAATACAAGCACAATCCGCATTTATGCCTGAAGTGTTTAATAGTCTATGTTATACCTTTATTCTTTCATGTTCCGATAGTTTTCTCAATATAAGTTCTTTAATAAAGGAATTCTTCAAGGATAAGAAAGTTAAAAATTTAGTACTCCAACTAAATTAATAAAAACAAATTAAACAAATGCGTAATGAAATGAAAGGTTATCAATTAAAGTGATATTTCTAGTTAAATTCTTGTAGTTAAATGAATTTCTTTGAGTGAATGTCCAGTTTTCCTATGAGATTCGACATAATTGTCTCCTTAATTGTTACACAGGCACTCAATGAATCGTCGCATAGTATAGGCTCAGACGAACAAGATGACACAAGAGAAGAGGCCAGTGGCAGCGGAAGTGGGAGTGGATCCTCTGGTTCCGACTCTGATTCAGACAGTTCCTCAGGTAACTCCAGCGATGGACGCAGTTCGCATGAGCCAACGGTTGCCAAAACGGCGGTGGCAGGTTTTCCACCAACAGCAGTGGCCGCTCAAGCAGATACCAAAACGAATGGCTTTACGGATGGGAATGAGGAAGACAGTTCCAGTAGTGGTTCCAGCGCCAGTGATTCCGACTCAGATGCGGAGGCTGGCGGCGAGCCTGACAGAACAAACAACAATAACATCAACAACAGCAGCAAGTTGCACACGAGTAGTAGCAGCAGCTCCTCTGGCACTTCTGCAGCAACACTTGCCAAAGCTGGCGAAGAGGATGATGAAGACGACGACGATGATGATGATGACGATGATGGTGACGAAGAGAAGACACAAAATTCACAGGCGGTCAGTGAAGCCAGCGCCGATGAAGATGATGCCAGTGATAGCTCCGCCAATGCCTCGCCCACATCCTCCAGCAGCAGTAGCAGCAGCGTAAGTTAAACATTTCGCCTGGTTTAGTGTCTCACATAATGTTAGCTCAATTACTTTCAATAACTTACAGGAAGATGAGGAGGATGATTACAGACCTAAGCGATCTACGCGACAGCCGCGCAAAGCTGCGGCATCTGTTGCTGAAAAATCAAAGAGACCTGCCAAAAAGAAGAAGAAAAACCAAACGTAAGTAAAATAAAATATAATTAAATTGATTGCAATTACAAATTTGATAGTTAGCCTTATTTAGTTAGGTCCTGAATTTATAATTAATTTATTTTATTGCATTTTCCAATTGTAATTAAATGTGTTTTTACTGATTAAATGAATGAATACTTCATTTTAATTTCAAGTAAATGTATTGAATTATAAAATATCAAGGGAATACAGAATACATAGCAATATTAAGCTTTTTATTTATTTATTTATTTTTATTTTTTGAAATGTTCTCAAAGAACATATTTTGCTAAACAGGATGCCGTGCAAAAAAAATGCTTTTCGATTTTTATATAGATCAAATAAAAGACAGTGCAATCGTATTATTTTAGAATTCTTGAGCGAAACCTTTTAAGCATCTATTCATACACAGTTGGGACTCCGATGAGAGCGACGGGAGTAATGACGCAGATAGCGATGAGGCACCTTTCGCAGCACAGAAACGCAAGTGCAATGCCCGTTCTGGGGGCAACAAACAGTCGCAACATCAACAGCCACGCCGTCGCGTGAAATCCTTTAGTTCTGAAGACAGCGATGATGATGATGCGAGCAAGCGGTATGTCAATAAAAACATTTAATAATTTAAATAAATCCCAATAATTACGGAATCATAATAGGTGTGCGACTCGTCGCACCGCCGCTGCTGTGAGTTACAAAGAGGCCTCTGAGGACGAGGCCACCGACTCGGAGGATCTGCTGGAATTCGAGTACGATGAAAGTCAGGCAGCTGCTAACGCGGCTGCCGCTGAAGAGGAGGAGAAGTGTGAGACTATTGAACGCATACTTGCGAAGCGTGATGGCAAGAAAGGCTGTACCGGTAATCAAACTACAATTTATGCCATTGAGGAGAATGGATGTGATCCGAATGCGGGCTTTGAGGACTCGACAGAGTCCTTAGAGGTGCAATACCTGATTAAATGGAAGGGTTGGAGCTACATACACAATACCTGGGAGTCGGAAACGACGCTGCGCGAAATGAAGGCCAAAGGCATGAAAAAACTGGACAACTTCATCAAGAAAGAGCAGGACACAGCTTACTGGCGTCGATATGCGGGCCCCGAAGATATCGATTACTTTGAGTGCCAATTAGAGCTGCAGCATGATTTGCTCAAGTCCTATAACAATGTGGATCGTATAATAGCACGTGGCACCAAGCCAGATGACGGCAGCGAGGAGTTTCTGTGCAAATGGCAATCGTTGCCTTATTCGGAGTCCACGTGGGAGGATGCAACATTAGTGGTTAGGAAATGGCAACGGTGTGTTGAGCAGTTCACCGAGCGAGAAAACTCCAAGTGGACTCCATCGCGTCACTGCCGTGTGATCAAATATCGTCCAAAATTCTCGCGCATAAGGTCACAGCCCGATTTTTTGGTGGACGGTCTTACTCTCCGTGATTATCAAATGGATGGACTGAACTGGCTGCTGCACTCATGGTGCAAGGAAAATTCCGTTATACTGGCCGATGAGATGGGTCTGGGAAAGACCATTCAAACAATATGTTTTCTCTATTCGCTCTTCAAAATTCATCATCTATATGGACCATTTTTATGTGTGGTGCCGCTTAGTACAATGACCGCCTGGCAGCGGGAATTTGATTTGTGGGCGCCCGACATGAATGTAGTTACATATCTGGGTGACGTTAAGTCACGCGAGCTTATACAGCAATACGAGTGGCAGTTTGAAGGTTCCAAAAGACTGAAATTCAATTGCATATTAACGACCTATGAGATTGTGCTAAAGGACAAACAATTTCTGGGCACCCTCCAGTGGGCAGCATTACTCGTTGATGAGGCGCATCGGCTGAAAAACGACGACTCGTTGTTGTACAAATCGCTCAAGGAATTTGACACAAATCATCGGCTACTTATTACGGGCACGCCATTGCAGAACTCGCTAAAGGAGCTGTGGGCTCTGCTTCACTTTATAATGCCCGAGAAATTCGATACTTGGGACAACTTTGAGCTGCAGCATGGTAATGCCGAGGACAAAGGCTATACGCGCCTACATCAGCAGCTTGAGCCATATATACTTCGGCGTGTAAAGAAAGATGTGGAAAAATCGCTGCCTGCCAAAGTAGAGCAAATACTTCGCGTGGAGATGACATCACTTCAGAAGCAGTACTACAAATGGATACTTACCAAAAATTTTGATGCGCTTCGCAAAGGCAAACGCGGTTCCACATCCACCTTCCTTAACATTGTCATTGAACTGAAGAAGTGTTGCAATCATGCGGCGCTCATACGTCCATCAGAATTCGAACTTTTTGGTCTGCAACAGGATGAAGCGCTGCAGGTGCTGCTTAAGGGTTCCGGCAAACTTGTGCTGCTGGATAAACTTCTGTGCCGACTGAAGGAGACGGGTCATCGTGTGCTCATATTTTCACAGATGGTTCGTATGCTTGATGTGCTCGCTGATTATCTTCAGAAGCGACACTTCTCATTTCAACGCTTGGATGGCAGTATTAAGGGTGAAATGCGGCGGCAAGCATTGGATCACTTTAATGCTGAGGGTAGTCAGGACTTTTGCTTTTTGCTATCGACCCGAGCCGGCGGCTTGGGAATTAATTTAGCCACAGCCGATACGGTTATTATATTCGACTCGGATTGGAATCCGCAGAATGATTTGCAAGCGCAGGCCCGTGCCCATCGCATTGGTCAAAAGAATCAAGTGAATATATATCGCCTGGTCACAGCGCGTTCCGTTGAGGAGCAAATTGTTGAGCGTGCCAAGCAAAAAATGGTGCTCGATCATTTGGTGATACAACGTATGGATACAACAGGTCGAACGGTGCTAGACAAAAGCGGCAATGGTCACTCGTCCAATTCAAATCCCTTTAACAAAGATGACTTGTCGGCCATTCTTAAATTTGGCGCAGAAGAACTATTTAAGGATGAGCAAGAGCACGAAGAGGAGCTTGTATGCGATATTGATGAAATTCTGCGTCGCGCCGAGACACGAAACGAAGATCCCGAAATGCCGGGCGATGATCTGCTGTCAGCTTTTAAGGTGGCTAGTATAGCTGCGTTTCAGGAGGATGAGCCCAGTGAACCGGCGAGTAAGGATCATCAAGGGGCTGATGAGGAGGATGACAGCAAAGATTGGGATGACATTATACCCGAAGATTTTCGAAAAGTCATTGAAGATCAGGAGCGTGCTAAGGAAATGGAGGACTTGTACCTGCCGCCGCGCCGCAAAACGGCTGCCGCAAATAAAAACGAATCCGGCAAGCGAAGCACATCCAAGAGTGGGATGCGTTCCAAGCAGGGCGACGATTCGGGTGATTCGGATTATGAATTGGGCTCCGATGCCAGTGGCGCTGGGGGCGAGGATGGAGGCGGTAGGCAGCGCAAACGCGGACGTCCCGCAATGAAAGAGAAAATCATTGGCTTCACCGATGCAGAACTTCGACGCTTTATACGCAGCTATAAAAAGTTTCCGGCGCCGTTGCAGCGTCTAGAGGCGATTGCATGTGATGCGGAGTTGCAGGAAAAGCCACTAACAGAGCTAAAGCGCATTGGCGAGATGCTGCATCAACGTTGCGTGCAGTTCCTAGACGAGCACAAGGAGGAAGAAATCAAGACTGTCAAGGAAGAGGAGCAGCCGGGCAGCAAACAGCGACGCACCCGCGCAACTTACTCTGTTAAGTTGGGTGGGGTGTCGTTTAATGCCAAAACGCTGTTGGCCTGTGAAGAAGAGTTACAACCGCTTAATGAGCTTATGCCCAGTTCGGCGCACGAGCGGCAGCAATGGGTATTCAACATCAAGACACGTTCAGCTAATTTTGATGTAGAGTGGGGTGTTGATGAGGACACTCATTTGCTGCGCGGCATTTATCAATATGGTATTGGCTCCTGGGAGCAAATGAAGCTGGATCCAACGCTTAAACTGAGCGAGAAGATACTGCTTAACGACACACGCAAACCGCAAGCGAAGCACTTACAATCTAGAGCGGAGTACCTGCTCAAGATTATCAAGAAGAATGTTGAGCTGACAAAAGGTGAAAAGCGGCGACAACGCAGACCTCGCAAGTTAAAAACAAATCTCAATTCAACCACGACAGCAGTCGGTACACCAGAGCGTAAGGATGGAGTTCCTGAAGAGGGCAGTTCTTCACTGACGGGCGATAGTAGTTTACGGCAGGCAGTAGATGGCAGCAACGTTGTTGCTTCACCAATTACAGCATCTGCATCAGCGACGGACCATGGTAATGCACAGAAAAAGAAAAAGTCAAAGACTCGTAGTAAAAAGTCAAGCGCATCCGACAATAATGGCAATAAGCCTATGCACTTTACGGCCAACAATGAGCCACGTGCACTGGAAGTTCTTGGTGACTTGGATCCCAGCATTTTTAATGAATGTAAGGAGAAGATGCGACCGGTGAAGAAAGCGCTGAAAGCTCTAGATCAGCCCGATCTCAGTTTGTCCGATCAGGATCAGTTGCAGCATACGCGTGACTGTCTATTGCAGATTGGACGACAAATCGATGTTTGCTTGCAGCCTTATGGTGAGACTGAGAAAAAGGAGTGGCGCAGCAACCTGTGGTATTTTGTGTCTAAGTTCACAGAACTGGATGCCAAGCGCCTTTTCAAAATCTACAAGCATGCGCTTAAGCAGCAAACTCAAAAGGATGCTCCTCCTAATACAACAGCTGTCGATGGCGGAAAGTCGAAAGGCTCGCGAGCCGAAAACGGCGTTGCAGACAAGGAGAAGGAGCGTGACAAGAGTGGTAAAAAGAAAAAGAAAGATAAGGACAAGGAGCGTCAGGGACGCTATTCAGGTGCGCCTTCCGATGACAAGTCTGCACGCCGTTTTGCCAACGATTCGCCAATGAAGCGAAAACGCGATGAGAACGATGTGGAGGTCAGCGGCATGGCTGTAAACAACTCTGGTATCAGCGACAACCTTAAATCAATGTCTTTCAAGCGCCTAAATATGGATGCAACTGCATCCTCTCGACACGGGAGCCACGAAGACCAGCGCAAAAAGCATCATGACTACTACGGTAGTGCTGGTGGTGGGCCCCCCAGTGGCTACGATGGTAGTAGCGCCCGTCGTTCTGGTCTCAACTCACCATCTGCAATAGGGGGCAGCAGTCGACGCTTTGAGCCGCCGCCTGCACCCTCTGGCTACGCTGCTGAAATGGATCGTTGGCATCCACGTGAGCGGTATGTTAAAGGCAGTAATGGAATCATTGATATTTGATGGTTAATTTTATTTTTATTATAGTTACAATTTTGACTATAAGCGCGAGAGATATGATTCACTATATCCACGCGGAGGCAGTGGTGCTGTCGGCAGCGGTTATCATCGAGATCATCGTGAGCGTGATCGCGAACGAAGACCAGACAAACGCAGGTAAGTCTACTTAGCTTAATTTGAAACTGTACCAATCAAATTTTGTACGCCGATAGATTGATTGATTCCTTCCTTCTTTCCATTCAGATACCCGTCCGCCGTGCCACCGCATGCCTACTCGAGCCATTACCTGCCGTCTAATTACTATTTGCCAAATGGCATGGCTTTGCCGCCACCGCCACCAGGCTATCGGAATGAACCACGCGGCTATCCAGTCATGCCCCGAGAATATCCCGCTGATTACAGGCGCGATTATGAACGGCGCACGCAGACATGAGGAGCGAATGCCGCTAGTTATTGTATATACATTTAGGTTAGTTTTAAGCTTGGCTGTGGTGTCTGTGTCGGGCGCGGCTAATTGATAAGTCTTTCCGTAACGATCTTGACACAAAGCATGAGCAACACACACAAAAACACCTGCTCATTCACACACACACGCACACCCAAACAAATTCACATCCACCCATACACATACACTCACAAGCAAAATCAGAATACGCATAATACAGATTAGGTACCATACATAGCTAAACATATGTACAAGTAATATATAGCAGCTATTTATAAATTGTACTGTAAATTTAAATTATATATATGATCCGCATATTGAGTACATGGCGGCGTTTCGGGCAAATTACGTAAATAAGATAATTTTACAATTTCCCTTGTATAAAGCATAGGCTTTAAGTTTTCTTCATTAAACCCTTTTTATACTGTACAGTTAATTACGGGCATATGCCACTTCAATAAGTCTTTTGAAAGCTTTGAAAATAACAACAAATTCTCACTATATTTATAAACACAACATTGAATAAAGCGATTATGTTAAATATAAAAATAAAACGGAAAAACTTAAATTCTGTAAAGTTTCGTTTCAATGTTAGTTCATCAGCCCTTTTATAAGCCAATAATATATATAGAGGTACCGTCAGAAGAGACATGCATATATGTATTGTAGTTAATATTAATCTATATAAATAAGTATATTACGCATGTTGTAGTGTCTGAAGTCTATCAAAGTGTATATCATTAAATTATATTACAAAATATTTGAGACTATTGAATGCGATTGGCAATGAGGGTGAGAAAATTCGTGCAACGATTTTTTATAATTAAAATAACAATTTTTCAAATTAGATATATGTGTATTGCCTAAAAAGGAGGGGGTTTCACTTTATGGCAAAAGATATTTATTGTTCCTAAAAGTAGGCTTCATTGCGAATTTTATATGAAAGCGTCTCTGGAATGTTTAAAATTCGCCACAGAAGGTAAGCATTATCCTTGTTATGCAATTTCATTGTGTGCATGTCAACAATGAATCTCAATTCAAAGATGATAAATGCCATCTACATTGTAAATTTATAAGTTTTGATTCTTTCCATGATAAGGACTTTTTTAGGCACAGTAAAAAAAAGAATTAATAGATTAAATGATGTATATTTTTATTATTGAAGACATTAAACATAGATGCTCTCAGGCATTTGAAATACGAGTTAACAGCCAATAATAAAACATTGTTTAATTGCATGCTCTAACTGCAACTCACAAAACCAGAAGAAGCAAAGAGCATATGTAAAATGCAATTACATAGTTACATATAAACATACGTTTTCGTACTACAATTATATAAGTATTACATGCTAACAGAAAGCTAAATAAGGCTCTTCGCTTGGCTGGGAGCCGCTTTGGAATCGTTATATTCGTTATAAATTCGAGTTTCGATTGTCATAAGTGGAGAGCTCATTCGATTTCTATGCACAAATCATTGCTATTTATGGACGTTTGAGCCCCATGTTGATTAGCCAAAGGACCATTTATTTCTTCCAAATTGTGTTCCATATTTAATGTGTTGAAGTATGGCGATTCGAGTTCTTCTGTCGAATTGGGCGTTTGAGCGTCTATGAAGAAGTCTGAGAAGCAAATATCAAATATCAATTTAAAAGAACAAACTATTAATGTACTTTAAATGAGTAATGATATGTGGCAAATATACCTGATAATGATCTGAACATTTACTTTAGCATTGTTTGCCTATACGTAGGTGTGTGTGTGAATGCGTGTGCGAGTGATTAAAAGGCAACGTCGTGTAATACGGGTGTAGTGGGCATTATTTGCACTGTAAGAAATGTTTGGGTAAATGCTGATGGATCTTGATGATGTGATACAACGTCATGATGGTGATCTAATGAGACCGTGTGCTATACTAACCGGACTCAACACCATTCCATTCGCTGACAACTGCATTATGTGAATGTGGCTGGCGTGGATTTGGATGATCCTCGACGGAGCCTTCGTAGAGTTGTAAATCTGTAGCCAGCTGACCGTGCTCTGTCATTTCATCAAAATCAAATATTTCAGTCACCTTAACATGATTCGTGCTATTATCAGTGTAGTAGTAGGCATAGAGGGCATCATTATGCGTGCTCATCTTGAGAACATGTTCAAAATTATCAACATCGACATTTAGTGGGGTAGCACCGCTGTAAATAGAGGCCAATTTTATGCTAATACACTTTAAAATATCCATAAATTGACAGACCATTCATCGACTAATATTGAAACTCGCGGTCCGTACAAACGACTAGAGTGCAACAATCCTGTTGCATCAAAATGTGGCGTATCGTAAAGCGTGAATTTACTGAAGAGACGCGTTTGAATTGCATTGTGCAACTGGGCAATCACTAGTCGCATTTGCTTGGTCAGTTTCGGAGTCAGGCTGGAGATTTTATATACGGTTGCCAACAAAAAGTCCATTGGCACTGTAGCAGGTAGTGAGAGTAGTTTAAGGCCGCGATGCCTAAAGATCCAGTTGGCCAATCCCTTGTTTGCCTGCTCAATGTAGTCTTGTATTACGTCCAGAACAGTTTGTGGCATGTTTGAGCTCAAAGCGTCCTGTGTAACATAAGATTTAATTACAAAATTTAATCAAGAATTAGACAAATATACATATTTAAGGATTTACTACATACTTTTCTGTGCTTTTTGCATTCATGACACTCTGGATCGAATTCGGGGGGCTGAGCAACTGTTTCTGAGACAACAAACGTCGATTGAACAGCAACGCAACGTCTGCAATTGATTAGATTGTTGCGGTGCAGAAACTGTAGGGCATCATCGAAACCTTGTTGACAAAATTTTGAAAGGAACTCGGGGCGAGGCGGGAAGAGAATACGAACAAAACGATTTACGTTTTGTCGTGAGATTTCGATGCTTGTGTTTGCCCAGTTAAAGTGAAAAAGTTGTGAGCTTTGGTCACGTGGACAAATGTCGCTCTCGCCGCAGAAGGGGCTAACGGTGATAGTGTTTTCATCAAGGATGGGTAAGTTGTTCGAAAAGGCACCATCCATGTAGCGCACACCACGGAATTTCGGTGGCAAAATGCCAGAAAAGCCCGGAATAAAGCAGGCGCAGAGCAGTGCCTGAAGCACCTCTTCGCGGGACTCGAACTGTGAGATAATAACATTTTGCCCATCGTAAACACTCGTCAATGAAATATGTAACCGCCCATTGACTCGCATATGTGCATCCTCGGGTAGATGTTTCTGCAGACCTTCGAGCAGGCAGGTCTGTATGTTGAATGATGGACTGAAGGGGCCCAGAGAGTGGCGACGAGCTTCGTTTACTACCCGGAAAAAATCAGATGTCATACTACCAAGTGGCAAATCGCAAAGCAGGCAACACGCGGCCAGGGAGCCTGCGGATGCACCTCCAATTTTCTCAAGCAATAAATGTGGTGCATAGTTCTTAAAACACACGGCAACACCGACATGATAAATGCCCAGAAAACCGCAGCCAGCAAAAGACAAATTCATAATTCACTTTCTTTCTCTTTTTTTTGTGTGCTGGTAACTGTCAATAAATTAAACTTTTTTTGTCCCTTCCACTCGTATTTTGATCTTTGTTCGCTAATATAGATGCTGTTTTTTTGCAACGTAAATTGTTCTGATTCTTTGTTTGGGAACAGCTGACTTGTAGCAGTTTTACATGTGTTATCGATACATTAAAATAACTGTGACTGTACAAAATATCCAGATAGCAAGTATCGATACTTTATAAATATATATATTTTTAAACTTTGAATTTAATACTCATATTTTCAAATGTTTCAAATATAATTATTTAAATGATATTCCCTACATTGTAGATTTGTTAATTTTTTCGTATACAAATTGAGAAAACCACACAGATCAGATTTACATTATTTATCAAAAATTTAAAATTTAATGTAGAAAAATATATTGCATTTTAAATAAAATAATTAAAATTGAACACTTTTACAATTTCACAATTTTCGTTTTTCTTATAAATAAAATAGTCATGCAAGCATGCAAACATATTCCGTTATAAAACTTATAATTAATTAGTGCAATTTGAAGTCTTGCCACCAATCGGTACAACTTCTGTGAAGGGAATGGCTTGCTCCTCGGCAAAGGCTACAAAATTAACATTGTAGTGTTGGATCAGCTTTGTGAGCATTATGACATCCGCCTCGGCTCGATGAGCATTTATAGCCGGTCGCTTGAATATACGCTCATACATATGGGATAAGCGATAACGACCGCGGGGGGGATATCGTTTTGTTGAGGCACAGTTGAGACCAGTAAAAAGTTGACGTCGTGATTTCATGTCTTGCAATGTCCTTTTGTTTGCAGGTATATCCGTATCATCAGCGTTCAAATGCTTGCGTTTGAGTAGTGCATCTGCGCGGTTCAGAATTTGCCGCTTTGGCGTGTTTTCATTTAATGATTGCCAGTCGATTTCTTTTTGGGTGACGGGGTCAATTGAATTATCAACAATATCAATCTGCTCGGCTTTAATATCAGTTGGCAAATTACCCTCTACCACTGCATTCTTATCGTTTAGTTTATCGTCAATTTCCATGAAGCCGCGCAACGAATCAACGCAAAGCGTCGAAGCTGGCAAACTGATATTTAACTTATTAAGAGCTTTCCTAACAATGGGGAAATCAAATCCCCAGCCATTATGCGCAATAAGACAAACTGGAGGAGGCAAATGCTCTAAGAATCTCTTTATAAGTTCACCTGAATTACTGTCCAGCTTTGACTCGCGCTCCAAAATATAGTTGTTCAAGCCTAGCATATAGTTTATATATCAACAAAAAAACACATTAGTCATTGGATCGCCCAGCATGAGTCATTTACTTTTCTGACCTGTGATAATTTCTGCTTCCGGATGTACAAGCATCGACGGCTGGAATAGTAAATTGAGCTTGTGCATTACTCTTGGGGGCGAGGGCAGTTCAGGGGAAAATGATTCATCAATTTGTTTCGAATCCGTTGAGTTCTCATTATCCTTTAAAACAGCAGGATCAAAGGCGTAGATGCAAAGTTCCGTGATACTAACACGATTGTTATTATGTGCTGGCAAATTCGACGTTTCCAAGTCCAAAATTGCGAATGTGGAGATTGGCTCCCTCAGTGTATGTTTCGTATCCACAGATATATTTGGCGTCATTGAAATTGTTGGCAAAAAAACAATGCTTAGAAACCATTGGACAGAAACAGGATTTGGAAATATTATTACAATGTATTAAAATATAACCAAATTTATCAACATTTTTACGTTGTGTAAATAAATATTACATTCACTTTACTCATATAATTGTCTTACAATGTTGATAAAAAATTAAATGTGGAAAATAATTTTAGAAATAACTTAGATATGGACTCTTTACTCACAAACAAAATATAAGCACTGCAAAATATCGACCAACCACCACAGTTTATAAATGTTCAACTACAGTTGATGGGACACAGTAATTCACCACAGCAAATTAAAAAAACCGGTCGACTCTAATCGGTACTTTACACAGTTTTAAATTTAGAGTTATCTCTATACTTTAATAAATAGAAACATTATGACAAAATTCCACTGTTCCGCCCTCTCGTCAGTTTTATTAGGCTTATCGAAATCACCTAACAGCAACTTACTTTATTAGATATTTTTTTTAACAATGATTAGCAAAAAAAGTATGCATACTTTGAAAGACAAAGACCGTTAAAACAGTGTCCTCACAAACAGAAATACGCACAAACATAAAATACATTAAACAATTTATAATGTATAAATACTTGAAGGATTTTAAATCCTTTCGTGTTAAGAATTCATGAATAATTAATTACACACAAAAACAAATGTATATTCGAGCAGGTGTAGAATACTTCGTTTCTTGAGCATGGCACGTTAACGGCACAAGGGTGGTACACTGCTTAAAGATCAGCGCTATGTAACGACTTGGTGTCTTCCGATTTTGTATCTCCTAACCCATCGACTTTGGCTCCACGTCTATTTGTCGAAAACTGCAAATAGTCCATGCGTGTAGCCGCCTCATATTCCTGTACAAGACCGTCCACGATCTCTCGAGACTCGTCCAATTCAGTTAAATCATCCTTAAATATATCCTCGCGTCGAAATTGATCCAGAAAAGCACCACGCTTTCGCAGCTTGTCATACTGATTCAAAGTGCGCTCAAACAAGGAGCAAATGCTCGTGTGATTGGCCAACATCAACCCCGAGACACGATGGCTGCTTTGCACATAAGGCGAAGAGCGAGATAATGCCACCTGTATTGAGGTAGGCCCCCATGGGATAAACTGCGCCAACTTCCGCTCCCGTATACGCTGCAATGATTTGTGTACCTGTGTGGGGTCCACTTCGCCCTGTATGATGTTAAGTATCGAGATATAACAGTGATGATTGGTTTTGTCGGGGCCAGTTGAAACCATCATGTTCTTAGGCTGCAGCAGACGTCGCATCACATCCAACACAGTGGTCTTCCGCACGTTAACAGCCTGGTGCGAAGACAAGGGATTATGCTAAAATAAGTATTTTATAAACTCTGACATCAAATATATACACATTCATATACATATATTGGACTACACTTACATGATTGCTAAGATTAGCGTCACTGGTGAGTGGTGTGTAGCCCGTCATGAGGAAGTGTAGCTGAGGTGTTGGTATCAAGGGGGCCGTCAGTCCAATGAGATTGTTATTCATATATGATGGATAACGCAGCGTTGTTGTGCTAACACTCATTATGGTCGAGACTAGTGTATTGATCTGTGTAAAGGTTGGATTCTGTATGTGCAACCTGTCGCAAGCAATGCGATTTAATGCCGTATTATCCAGTACTACGACACTGTCCGCTGCGGTTGTTAAACGGCGAAGCGTTAACATTGAGTTGTAGGGTTGTACTACAACATCGCTTATCTCGTCTTGATTCGGAAACACGCTATACGTTTGGATGAGTTTCTTGGGATAACGATCCGCTAGGCGTTCCATAAGAAATGATCCCATTCCCGAACCAGTGCCACCTGCAATAGAATGGCAAAGCACAAAACCTTCAAGCGAATCACTTCCGTCCGCTTCGCGATCGATTATATCAAATATTTCCTCCTGCAATTTATCGCCTTGGCTATACCCAGATGCCCAGTTGTTGCCGGCACCGCCACCATGTTTCGACAAGTAAACATTCTCTGGATTGTAGAGCTAATCAAAAAACCTAATTGATACAATTTTTTTTTTGTTATTGCGTGATACTTACTTTGGAATAAGCAGAAGTCATTATGGTATTAATCACGCGAGGCTCTAAGTCCAGCAACACGGCACGCGGTATATAATGATCGTCATCTGCTTGATAGAAGAACACATCCTTCCTATCCATGCCATCAGTGGCAAATTCTTCCAGAACGCCACTGGGCGAGATGCCATGCTCCAGGCAGAGCCGCTTCCAAAATTCAAAACCAACTAATAAAATGGGTTGGTAAAAATAAAGCCACAATTTTCCAGCAAGCAACGAACAGAATAAATTTTACCCACTTTGATTGCCGCATTGTCCCAGCTGGAGCGTAATTATTTCACTTGGCATTTTTACGAGATGCTATTTCGATTATGACTGCTGATGCGGGTCTATGCTAAAATTTGTGCTACTTGTGCGCTTTGTCGTCAAATGCTGATAAACACAGTTGAATTTATATGCACATCCCACTAAAATCACTGAAAATTCTTGTAAAAACGAATTGTTTATGGGAAAAAACTTAAATGAAAGATACAGCGGGTAGCGCAGAAAAAACAATCGATGACACAATCGATGATAAACGGAGGTGGCTTGAAGTTACTATTACCAAATTAATTTTTGGTTCTTATCGATTTAAGATTTCAATGGTAACCAGTGCGCAAATCAGCAAATCACATATTCAATTGTGAATTTAAACTTAAAAAAAAGCAATAAAATATATAAACATTATGGAGAAATGATATTTTTATATGCTGGATAGTTAAGAACAAATAAACCTTTTCGGAAATAATTGTTTACTTTTTTAACTATAATATCGATAATGTCGATGATTTTATTGACAGTTTCACGCGGGCAAAAAGCGATACCGGCTTGGCATGGCATTGCCATTGCCCGCGCAGAGTTCATGGTCGGTAGTTGTTTTTGGATTACCCACATTTTAAAGGTAAGTACAAAGTGAAAACAACACTACAGTTAATATTGCGATAAAAATATTTAGTAACACAATTTATTTAGCTGTCTGCAAATAACAAATAATACTAGCATGCCACGCTCGAAAGTTGTAAAAAAACAACAACCGGCATCAGAGTTGTCTGCAACAAATGGTAATGACGGGATACCTGAGGAGGGGGTCGCTGATGTAGCTACTGCTATCAAACAGCCAACTAAGAGTAAAGCGCGCGGAAAGAAAGCACCAACAGCAACGACAGATGGTGACATGAATGTTGCACGGGAAGAAGATGAAGTTGTTGTAAAGAAAACTGTAGTCAGATCCAGGAAGAAGCCTGTTGAAAAAGTGGAGGCTGTGGCGGAGGAATCAGAACCACCCAAACTAAGAGGACGCGCTAAGAAATCACCTACAGAGGTTAGTGATGCGGTAAAGACTAAAGCTAAAACCACAAAGCAACGCGTAAAAAAGGAGAAAACGCCAGCGCCTGAAGAGCCTGAAGTAAGCAAGGGACGGGCTAAGAAAGTGAAAACACCCCTAAACGAAAAAGCTGCTATTGTTGACGTACCGATCAAGGAGGAGGAGCCAAAAGCGCGCAGTCGTAAAAAGGAGGCAGAGAAAAACGATATAATTGAGACAGACAAGCAGCCAGAACCTGTTAAGGGGCGTTCTAAGAAGGTTTTAACTGATATTGGTTCCAAAGGAAGGGCAAAAAAAGTTGATGCTGTTACAGAGGTAGTAGTATCTGCATCAACAACAACAGCAAAGCGTGTGCGAGGTACTAAACGTTTGGCAGATAGTGAAATTTCCGACCTGGTAGAAGCAGACGAAGAACCAGAGCCTGAAGTACCGCTAGTGGGCAAGAAACGAACCAAACTAACGAAGATAAATAATGAAAATGTTGAGGCTCCTGTGAAGAAACGCGGCAAGAAATCAGCAACCGATGATCCACAGCAGGAGACGCCTAGTGTTGAGGCCCCAATAACTACCAAGAAACGTGCCCAAAAGAAAGTCAACGACAAACTAGATGCAGAGCTGAATTTGCCAGAGACCAAGCCAGGTAAGTAAACAAGAATCCCGATAATGGACCACTTCCAATTACCTAATTTCGAATTTTCAGCACGCAGCCGCAAGCGAGCAGCTGCTAATGGTGAGGAGGACGCTGATGCCATTGCAATTGACGAAGGTGATGGCTCAAGAAGTACGTTGACGGAGCCCGGCTGTGGCACTGCGGTATTGAAAAGTTTGCAAAATGTGCTTAACTTTTGTCTTCCAGCGTCCAAGGCCAAAAAGCAAACAACACAGCAGGTGGATGCCTATGATAAAAGTCTATTTACATCGCCAACGGATAAGGAATTTAATTTGAAAATCTCCAGCTGGAATGTGGCTGGCCTGCGAGCCTGGTTAAAGAAAGATGGATTAAGATTTGTGGATTGTGAACAGCCAGATATATTCTGTCTGCAGGTATGCAATATATATAAATATTAAAATTATCATGTATTTAAAATGCAGTTTTTGTCACCTTTAGGAAACCAAATGCGCTAATGATCAGCTACCGGACGAGATGGCGCGACTGCCCGGCTACCATCCATACTGGTTGTGCATGCCCGGCGGGTATGCAGGCGTCGCCATTTACAGCAAAATAATGCCCATAAATGTGGAATATGGCATTGGCAACAAAGACTTTGATGATGTGGGTCGCATGATCACCGCCGAATATGAGAAATTCTATTTGATCAATGTGTATGTGCCGAATTCAGGACGCAAGCTGGTTAACCTGGAAATGCGCATGCGCTGGGAGGAATTATTTAAGGCTTATGTCCAGAAATTGGATGCCCTCAAGCCAATTGTAATTTGTGGCGATATGAACGTTTCGCATTCCGAGATCGATTTGGCTAATCCAAAGACAAATACTCGAAACGCCGGCTTCACCAAGGAGGAGCGCGAAAAGATGTCTGAATTGCTGGCCCTTGGTTATGTAGACACCTTCAGGCACTTTTACCCCAAACAGACTGGTGCCTACACCTTCTGGACCTATATGTCCAATTCGCGAGCCCGCAATGTTGGCTGGCGTTTAGATTATTGCATTGTCTCCGAGCGGTTTGTGCCGCGCATCGTGGACAATGTGATGCGCAGCCAATGCCTGGGTAGCGATCACTGCCCCATTACTGTCTTTTTAAATATTTAAGTACACATAACGTGCATAATTAGATGCATATTCATATATTCATTGGTTTTTGTTTTTAGATGTTTGAGTTACAAATATGTGTTTTATTTTCGAAATTATATTTTGTTTTTTTCCTGTTATAATTAATTCATGTTTGTTCATTATTAACATTACATTTATACATACAAACATTCTATTACATTCTGTATTTCAAATAAAGTTTAAAGTATAATAATTTTAAGTACTTCAAAATGTCGACACGCTGCATAATTTAGCTTATTTCGACAATTTTATGGCAGTTTAGGCACGATTATGGCCCATGTCAACCGAAATGGCACTTAACTGTTAACGGGAATTCTCTTTTAATAGCATAGCTAAATGGACAGCACTGCTGCTTGTGCATATATACATACATACACAAATACATACACACATTTCTGAAAGCAGAGATAGTGAGGAAAAAGTTGTGTCTGCGTGATCACGATTGTGAGATTCTGTTAGTTAACATTAAAAGTAAGAGAGCTCGTTTGTTACTTTTGCTGTTAAATATCAGTTCTGTTATGACACCACATCACCCTAGATTCGGTAATTCCTTTTTGAATTTAACAGTCAATCATAGCTCTGGTATTGTTATAAGATGATATTATAATATAATATTATAATATAATATTAGTATGAAAAAAATGATCAATCACTGATTCACATTTTCTTTAAATTGAACATTTTCAAACATAATGGTTGGAGCTCTATGGCCGATACACCCAATAGAATGAATACTTAATGGATATAGTATTTCTCATTAGAGTTGATGTAATTTATAAGATTAAAGGAGCTTTAGTACCTCAGAACAAACTCCATTTGTTTGTAATTTCAACTCTTATTTATCATATACATATTACCTATTTGAATGAATTATAAGACAATAGATTTTCTAAAATTCAACTTGAACGTAGAATATTTTTGTCTGGTTTAAAAAGCTCTAGGTAAGTTCTAGTATAGGAACTTTAAAAACTTAAAATTCGATTAGCCCGAGCCATTGTAGTTTTGACTGACTCAGAGATATCCTAGGAACAACAGGCTACATAACTCATTCAATGGCTACATATAGTTGTCTATAGTTAACAAAAGCATATTTTGATTTAATTGAATTTAATTGATATTTGTTTTATTTTTTATTTTGTTTATTAAATAATAACAATTTATGCGGCACAATAAAAGTTAACGGTACACTAATAATTTTATTTCCGCCTTTATTAATTGTGTTATATGTTTGTTTGTTTTTGTTCGTTGTTTGTTTGTTTTTGTTCGTTGTTCATTGTGTGTGTGGGATCGTTTAGTTGGCATTGTTCTAAGCTTTAGAAATGGATATAATTATGTAATGCTTCTAAGCAGCTGTCCCAGTTTATTTTGTGTTGATTTAGTAAATAAATGTATATGAAAATTAAGCGCTCGTTTCAAATTGAAGTTTTTGTTTTTGCTCAAAAAGACAAAAATATAAGTAAAATCTAACACCGATCAAGACTAGCAAGCTGTCCGTAGAAATTACCGTGCATTGCATTGCAATTGATATACGTCCGAGCGAATCCGGTGAACAGCATGTGCCCCAATCAGGGTGTGGAGGGCAGTCTCTTGCCGGACTGCCACATTGCCAATCGTGTATTCATGTACTCGGTGCTGCACTCGATGCAGGCCGAGGAGCGGCGCAACGAGGAGGTGGATGCCGAGTTGCGCGATCGCTATGAGGTGTTCCGTCAGGTTCTGCACAACTTTCCCATACCGCTGCATGCCCGGCCCGAAGGCACCTACGACTACGAC